CAGTATTCACTAACCCACACTGACCGGCGTGGGGAACTGCGTTGAGATAGCCTCCTCATCCAGCAGTAGATTTAACAAAATGGCTGTTGCCCATGTGCATGTACCGCAAAACAAAAGCAATGTTCAGACTCAATTTTACAAAATGTTTGGTGGGGGGGGGGGGAAGCACTGTTGTGTCCGTGTTAACATCGACTGGATGCTCAAAACTTAAATTGTACATAACATCCTTTGAGCAACGCGGATTAAGGTAATGTTCAGAATTAACATTTGAGAAATGGAATTATCAAAGAACTTATTAATTTAAAGAATAAAATCCTCACAACTTGAGTGTGGATTTTATCACCATGTAATTATTCATATTAGCTTTCAGAACAAAAGTTTTATATCCGGATTGTGTTATGCATTTCCATCTGTGTCGTGCATGGCAAACATCATCGTTAATCTTAATAAAAGCAGCGTCGTTTGTATGGTGTCTGGAAAGCAGGTGCATCGACGGATGGATCCAAAGTAAATCTGGCATCCAATAAGAAAGCACATTTTAAAAGTCGCTCAGCCCTTTCCATTTGAATTTACTAATAATACTAATGCCGTGTATTAACAGCAAATGTAACGGAGAATATTACATGCATACCGTTAATTTCTAATATTTTTTCTTTCGAACTGTAAAATTCACCAGATTTCCCCCCATCTTGGTTGTATTTCACCCAAGAGCCAATTTCTCATATGAGCGATGTTTAAATCCCTTTAGAAAACTCAATCACAAGCAAATAATCCTCCCTAATGCAGACGTCTTTCCTTCTTAGCATCATTATAAGAACAAATATATTCTGACCTGTGGCGAACATTTTCAATTGGAGACAACTCGATTTTAATCACAGCAGTCGTGTGCATAAGTGCAACTAATACCCACATCACATGTCTTTACAGCAATTCCGGGCACTTGATTTTAATTACACAAAAATAAACAATGGCCAAAATTGGTTCATCTGTTCAGCTTATTCGGGTGTCTTTTTTAAAGTTTGTCCTCTTCTGTGGAAACGTCTTCACACCCAAACATTTGACCAAATTATCATCGGCCAGTGATGCATAAATTCCCATGTCATCGCCATTCCTTATCGCGGTCTTATGAAGACACATTCCACCCCGCTTCTATGTCTACCCCACGCCCACTTTTCCTCAAGAGTCAACATGATGTCTCTCATCTAAATTTGCCAAATTATGGAAATGTTTCATTTCTGGACCTCCAGTTAGCACCGTTGGCCAGGTACGGCGCGAAAGAATAACATTTGGAACCCCCTTCTATTCGCCTGAGATGATTTGTTTCCTGAGGTTTGTCACGATGTGTAATCCCAAATGATCAATATGCAAGGTAATTTTTGTTCAGCGTTGGAATGTTTGGTCAAAACCAGTTACACTGCTTTTTTTAACCATATAATCTGCGGGAAGCCCTGCGGAACAGGGGAGAGAACAAAACTCCACACAGAAAGGTGCCCGAGTCAGGATTCGAACCCAGGCGCTTATTGCTGCGAGGCGCAAGTGTTAGCATTGCGTAAATATAAATGTGTCGTTAAACCCGCCACCACCCGACACATCCAATTAGTAAGGTTTGTCGCGTTAACAAAACGTGGCCAATTCGTGACTAGTTGAGCACACTGGCTGTGTTGGGAGAGTAAACCCACAACATTTACGATCCGAGTACGACGTTTCGCCGGTAATTACAACCAGCATCATCAGGTGACAGTCAGAGTTGTGTAGTAGATATCCTCCTGTTTTGTTCTTTAATAAACGGGGGGGGTAAATGTGATGTCGTCACTTGTGAGCTAATCGTGTGTGAAGGCCAGAGGCGGTTGGGGGCGGTATATAAATGACAAAGGATAACCATTAAATAACAATGGATATCCATTGCCATTTTGGTTAGTTTAACACGTAGCCTTTCGCGACCAATCTCATCCATAATACAGGTTTTTTTTTTGGGGGGGGGGGAGATTATATCGCGTAAATATATAAATGTATCGTTAAACGTGCGACCACCACCCGACACAGCCAATGAGTAAGGTTGGTCACGTAAACAGAACGTGGCCAATTCGTCGCTAGTACAGCAACACCGGTTGTGTTGGAGAGCCAAGCCACGACATTTACAATCTGAGTGTAAACCTCTCAAATTCGTTGTGTCGGGCGGTGGCGGGTTTCACGACACATCAATGCGATCTGACCCCCCCCCAACACAATCCCGTGTTGTGGACAATTGTTGTGCCCAACCCCTCCCCCCCGCGATGTCGAGGGAGTGGCACAAAACACCCCCGTGGCTGCAGAGGCTCAGAGCCCCCCCCTCCATCCACCCCCCCACCCCACCCCCAGTGCCGGATTATCCTCGTAGCACAAGTAGCTACTACACATGTAGTAGTAGCTACTACTACATAGTAGCTACTACTACATATGTAGTACTACTACATATGTAGTAGTACTACATATGTACATATGTAGTAGTAGCTACGGGCCCCGCACTTTCAAGCGCCCCGCGCTAAATGCTTTCAAGCTGTCAATTCCGGTTCAGTAATTCTGCACTTGCTCTATTACTATAGTACTATACCGCCTTCAACTTCTATGAACGACCGGGTGTTTAAGGTTAGCGAGTTGTCGTATTATCTGGCTGTATAGCCAAATGAAAAAAAAATACAATTACTTTACTATGCAAGTTAAACATTTATTGTTTTAATATTTAAGTGTTTTATTCAGGGCCCCTTTATAACATATGCTACAGGCCACGCACTGAGCTTAATCCGGCACCCTCCCCCCTCCGCCCCCGCGTCACTCCGGGACACGTGGTGGTCGCTCTCTCTGTGTTCCTGCCTGTCAACTACCCCCCCACCCCCCCGGGTGCAACTTTGACGGCCAGCTGGAGGAACTTGAAGGATCGTAGTTTGAGTCAGGAGTCAGCAGGTCACGCGCTCGTCTCCCCAAGCCACGACAACTTTGGTGGCGAAATTCGCCAGCAGCATCGGCTGGTAATTAACTATCCAGATGTGAATTAGTTACATTTTTGATTGGGAACTTTTTTTTTCTTTGGGGGGGGGGGGGGGGGGGGGGGGGAGATGACTTTGTCTGTGAACGCACCTACCCCCTGTTACCAGTGGAGAATTGACTCATGCCCATAAAATAATTTAAATGTAGCTTACAGCCCCAATCTACTGCTGGATGACAGCCTCTCGCTCGCTTTTCGTCCTCAATGCTGGTTTGTTTGAACGCTCATCAACCTCGCCGATCAGTGTGAGTCTTGGTGTGAGAGTTGATGCCAAAGACCGATTCAGATATTACTCGCTTTCTGATGTGAGCCCACCCCCACCATCATTATTGTGTTTCATACAGTGAGGGAAAAAAGTATTTGATCCTCTGCTAATTTTGTACGTTTTCCCACTGACGAAGAAATGATCAGTCTATAATTTAATGATAGGTTTATTTGAACAGCGAGAGACAGAATAACAACAACAAAATCCAGAAAAACGCATGTCGAAAATATTATAAATTGATTTGCATTTTAATGAGGGAAATAAATATTTGACCCCTCTGCAAAACATGACTTAGTACTTGGTGGCAAAACCCTTGTTGGCAATCACAGAGGTCAGACGTTTCTTGTAGTTGGCCACCAGGTTTGCACACATCTCAGGAGGGATTTTGTCCCACTCCTCTTTGCAGATCTTCTCCAAGTCATTAAGGTTTCGAGGCTGACGTTTGGCAACTCGAACCTTCAGCTCCCTCCACAGATTTTCTATGGGATTAAGGTCTGAAGACTGGCTAGGCCACTCCAGGACCTTAATGTGCTTCTTCTTGAGCCACTCCTTTGTTACCTTGGCCGTGTGTTTTTGGTCATTGTCATGCTGGAATACCCATCCACGACCCATTTTCAATGTCCTGGCTGAGGGAAGGAGGTTCTCACCCAAGATTTGACGGTACATGGCCCCGTCCATCGTCCCTTTGATGCGGTGAAGTTGTCCTGTCCCCTTAGCAGAAAAACACCCCCAAAGCATAATGTTTCCACCTCCATGTTTGACGGTGGGGATGGTGTTCTTGGGGTCATAGGCAGCATTCCTCCTCCTCCTCCAAACACGGCGAGTTGAGTTGATGCCAAAGAGCTCCATTTTGGTCTCATCTGACCACAACACTTTCACCCAGTTGTCCTCTGAATCATTCAGATGTTCATTGGCAAACTTCAGACGGGCATGTATATGTGCTTTCTTGAGCAGGGGGACCTTGCGGGCGCTGCAGGATTTCAGTCCTTCACGGCGTAGTGTGTTACCAATTGTTTTCTTGGTGACTATGGTCCCAGCTGCCTTGAGATCATTGACAAGATCCTCCCGTGTAGTTCTGGGCTGATTCCTCACCGTTCTCATGATCATTGCAACTCCACGAGGTGAGATCTTGCATGGAGCCCCAGGCCGAGGGAGATTGACGGTTCTTTTGTGTTTCTTCCATTTTCGAATAATCACACCAACTGTCACCTTCTCACCAAGCTGCTTGGCAATGGTCGTGTAGCCCATTCCAGCCTTGTGTAGGTCTACAATCTTGTCCCTGACATCCTTGGAGAGCTCTTTGGTCTTGGCCATGGTGGAGAGTTTGGAATCTGATTGATTGCTTCTGTGGACAGGTGTCTTTTATACAGGTAACAAGCTGAGATTAGGAGCACTCCCTTTAAGAGTGTGATCCTAATCTCAGCTCGTTACCTGTATAAAAGACACCTGGGAGCCAGACATCTTTCTGATTGAGAGGGGGTCAAATACTTATTTCCCTCATTAAAATGCAAATCAATTTATAACATTTTTGACATGCGTATTTCTGGATTTTTTGTTGTTATTGTCTCTCACTGTTCAAATAAACCTACCATTAAAATTATAGACTGATCATTTCTTTGTCAGTGGGCAAACGTACAAAATCAGCAGGGGATCAAATGCTTTTTCCCTCACCGTATGGCTAAACCATTTTGTGTTTTTATTTAAATGCATATTTCAGGATAAAAAATATTTTATTCATGAAATAAAAAACATGAAATACATCACAAGCCTTAAAAAATATATAAAAAATTTAAACAGCAGTGATAATACATGATCAAAATGTTACAATGTTTGCATATTAGTTTGGCATTCAACAGCGACAAAACTGTTCTCTAAGTCGTTACAGATTACTCAAGGTTACACTTAAGAGATGTGTTCCACTTCCCTTGGTCACCTTGTGACAAGGGCATAACAACCACATGAGTTTTTCAACAAAAGTCCCACCTTTAGGTTTGCAAAACAACACACCGTTGTAAGCGTGTTGACCTTGCCACGTGGTTCAAAACCTCATATTTTAGTTGAAATAAAACCTGCTGATCAGTTTTGAAGTCAGGTCAACGGGTTAGCAGAGCAGTGCGTTAAGCAACATGCCACTGCTTCCCCCACCACCACAGCTTCACTTTCGTACGTATAATTCCAACTCCTTATTCTTGTTTATTTTACTTCACGTACTTAACCAGGAGAGCCACGCTGAGTCATGAGGCTTTTCTTTTTCAGGAGGGTCCCGCATTGGATTGTTTAATTTTAAGATGTTTTCAGCAAATTAATGAGTTAAGGATGTGGAAGGAAGCCATAGCACACCCGGAAAAACACACATGCAAGGGGGCAACGCTATATCCCCGTACACATGGAAAGATATGGCGATTATTCCACTTGCTGAATTGCCTTCTCCTGTCAAGCCAGGCCATGGTGCTGCATTCATCACGGGAGTGTAAAGCCGCTACGCCCAGCTATAAAAACGCGTTTCACATTAACAATGGCCCTTGTACACAGGCACCATTATAGAATTGCCCTATAACACACACAATAGTCTTAAACGTTGGTAATATAAACGATGCCGTTGCATATGTGTGATTGAAATTATAGCATTTTCAGGAATCTGTTCATATTTGTGTAGTACTATAAATAAAAAAATGCCCCGTCATACAATGATTAACGATAGGAATACGCCTCAATGAAATGACACAATTTACTTCAAACTAGTTAATACAATTACTGATAGTCCAGTTCTGCTCTTAAATTATTGATCAAGGGTTCATTGCCAAGCTACTCTGTATGAAAAAGAAAAGTTAGTGAAACCGGGTCTCAATACAATTATGCGGATTATTGTTGTTCATCTATGCCAAAAAAAAATTCCCGCAAAAAACACGTACCCATAATGATGCAACACAAGTTATCCCTAACAATGAAAATGCGCAATACTGCGTTATTTCATTAACCTTTCACACATGTTTTATCTCGTATACTTTCAATAACACAAAAACAGCATTTATAAGGAATTTAAATTGCAAATAGATCCGAACATGATTAGCTGAGACCAGCAGGATCAAGTGGTGTGATTGATGTTTGTGTTCATGATTCCTCATTGGCTGACATCCGCAACGCAGGGATTTCCAGGGCTTGTGTGCCAGGACTTCATGCAGACGAAGATGACCAGCGTCACACTTTGGATGCCAGCCAGCAAGAAAAAGTAGAAGTCCAAGTGGCAGTGATTGATGCTACCTGTGTGTCGTGATAAATTGAACAGTGTCACAAATGAATGAATAACAATGCAATAAGTTACAGGCATATATAAATCTACTGCGAGGTTAAGGATCTCTCCCACACCGTGTCAGTTATGGGTGTTGTTTGGTCAGACTTCACCATGCCGACTTGGTTTCAGCGGAGGGGGCTCAGTACCGGCTCAGATTATATTTCGTCACATACGTGGTCGGGAATCGAAAACTGAGGCCAGCCTGCTGATAGAGCAGAGTGCTAACAACCGTGCAACCGATGCCCAATTATCACGAAGCAAGATGATAAACACTGACAGCTGCAGAATACTAATCGGAACAAACAAAAAAACGTCCAAGTGTAAATGAGGTTTGTTTTATTTCTGTCTGATCGCTTAATTGTTTGGTTCAGTACAGTTGTTTCAAAACTTAAATTGGCCCGCTACAGAGGTTTGCATACATCCATACGCTTTTTCATTCTGACCACGCAGGTCAATAACAATGCCCATTCTTTTTATTCTTTTGTTTATCTTGGAAAACGTGAAACACGTTACACGCTTCAACTTGTGAGATTTATTTTTCGAAAGATACATTTATGCTATGACCAATCGATATTTCATCGCCCTGGTGATTTCTCCTTATTGTTGGTATGAAAAGGTGGTGGCATATTTTCACGAATATTTCAATGAAAACGAATTACATTTGGCACTAGAGCCTTGTGTGTATTCATTTCCCCAATTAGACCAAATCTTAGCCTGAGGTGAAAGTGGCGTAGCTTAGGATGTTATATCCACCCTGATAAAAATGTAGGCCATTCTCTACTGCAGTTCAGGGAGAATTCACACAAATTACAATGACAGGCTATCACAATTCCACCCATAAACAGACCCTCGCTGGCTACATTATTTCCATATACAGTACGTGAAAGCATTGAGCTCTATTAAAGTTGGTTAGCGCACTGCGCCATGAACCGGGCGACCAGAGTTCAAATCACTCACCTCCGATTTGCACCGACTATTGGCACGGTTGGCTATGTACGGTGCGAAAGAAATTCAACGCGCAAATGTACTCAGCTTGACAGTCATGTCGTCACCCCCCACCCCACGCCCCGCCAACCTGTTTCACTAACTCGCACTGACTAGCGAGCGAGGTCAAGTACGGATTATCAACACCCGCGATTGACGACGCGGCATTCTGATGCTGTCACCTAGCAGTGGGCTGACGAAGGGCTGCACGTTATTGGCAATGTGCTCCATCGGCAAGCAGCCAGTCGCAAACAAAAAAAAAGCATCGCTGCACGGAATCTAGCGCCTGGCAGCAAGTCGACGTTCGGCAACCTGCGACTGCTTGCTCACGCCAGTGCCGATGGAATGACCTCCTCTTCCATGCTGGAAAAGACGGTGGAGTTAACACACGAATTTTGCCCCAGCACAAGTGACCTGTCGACCGACTGCCCGGCACCCGTTTACACTGCTCGGTGAGAAGTGTTGCCAATTTTTTTTTTTCCCACTGACACGCCGGGAGAACGAACCGGCCACCACCGATCGCAAGCGCAGCGTTGCAAGGCCATTGACAGCGCAACAGCATCGCATACAGTTCGTCGTAATGATGATTAATTCATAATGTGTCCGGGTGGAGTTGGGCCCGGGGTTATAATGGCGGTGCAGAATGTCGCAACAGCTCCGCTTGTCCTCGCAGACATCCAAGGGGACGTACATAAATGACGTCACGCGATTTTGGACGATTTTTGAACCCCCCCCCCGCCCCCTCGTCACACGACGTCACAAATAAGTCAGACCCCCCCCCCTCAAATATGACGTCACAAAGCTCTGCCCCCCCCCAAAAAAACATATTTCCATTTTGACAATAAAACATGCTTCAAATCGCTTTAAACTATTGTCATTGTAGTGCGTATTTAATGTGGCGCTGCACTCTGATGTTGTAGGAGAAAATATTTATTAAAAAGTCTATTTAACTAAGTAGAACGTGTTGTCTATATTTATTTAAAGTTGCGCATTTTGATGTGACGTCACATTTCTCCCCCCCCCCTCGTCACACATCGTCACAAATGTCTGACCCCGCCCCCCCCTAGGTGCGTGACGTCATTTATGGACGGCCCCTAAGCTAATCTATCTGAATAAAACTACCCTCCCTAGTACAGTATCACAGCTGGTGCCCAGATTTGACCACGAGTGCCGTATATGAAGATTAAAACAAGTGGATGCATGTTTATGGCGGACCCATTTGCAGACTTTTCAGACAACCTATGGGTATGATTATATGACGTCATTATTACTGTTATCATTGGGAAATTCAACTGTTCCCCGCATGAATGTGAAACAAGTTAGGACTTAATATCCCATATCCCCCAAAAGTAGGTCACGCTGCCCTGTAGTCAAATGGAAATTGCAGTGTTATACCAGTGTAGGGAATTACACGACCACTAAGCTGCTGTCTCACATGAAAAATAATGCTTTCAGTACCATTAGTGTAACATCACGAATGAATAAATGTCAGAACCCGGCGACCGTAAGTGCCATCGTCTTTGTAGAACCAAACATCAGACGCGTTGAGCTCCGTAACAACTTTTGCTGTCTTGCATGACAACTTAAAAGTGCATGATGCTTAAGTAGCGAGGCCAAGGTGGAAAAATAATAGGCATTTCTGAGCATCAGAATTGCCACACTGAGCTTTCGAGAACACAAACAGGACGTATAATCATGTCTTACAGGTATAATTGAACAACAGTTGTTAATGTCATTTCCATTAGCTCACTTGTGGTAATGCAGGTCATGTGTGCTGCTGCATTAATTCAATTCATTTGTCAGCCAAGCCTGATTAAAGTAACATTGCAAACACCAGTTTAGAAAATGTTATAGGGAGGAACGGTAATTAATTTATACATCTAGAGAGCTGTTGATAAATATACATTGTGCTTATTCCCAGAGAGAGAGTTAGGTGATATAAATTAAGCATGTTAACTGATGTTTTAAAAGAATGCCTCACACTAGATAATCAGCACGTGCATTAGCACTGTCTTAATACTAATAAATACGTCACGTGTTTTAACTCTACCTTCATACAATGCGGAACAAACTGAAAATGCATTGCACTTTAGCTGATTATTTAAAAATAACGGTTAATGCTAAATTGCAAGGTAAGAGCAGGGCAATGCCAATTGTTGTTTAATATTCCTGACTGGGTAAGTGAAACGAGTATTGGGGCCCGGCTTTACTAGTTTGTATGATGCTATTGTCAGACATATTCTGAAAAGAAAGTACTTCCAAAATGACTGATTGCAAGCTGGAATTTTGGCAAATTAAGTGAAAGACCAAATCTAATACGACTTTTTTCGGGAGTCTTCGGTGACCGAGCTGGGATGCAGTTTTAATCACGGGTGGCTGCAGGGTTTTCTGTAGCTGCATTTGTTATGAACTCATTGGTGCTGACTCGGTACTCTGAGCAATAAGCCATCAGGCTACCAATCTAAGCACCAGCATACAACATTAATAACCTCACCGTTTTCAGTACGCTGAATTTAATCTGGATGCATTTAAAAGATAAAAAAGTACATTGCCATTGGACAGCATGTTATACAAAGATAAATTCAACATCTTAATATTTGAACATGCCAAGCCGAGGTTCACCCTGACTTGTAAAAAAAAACAGGTGGAGTAATACAAGGAGGACATCCTTGTGCTATCATACTCCATCATGTCACACTGTGGCAATTACTTTTAAACTAAACTAGTACTGCCCTCGCATTAGTACGGGATGCACAGTTTGGGTGGAGGAGCGATACATGAACCCGGCTCAACACTGTGGTTTGCGGGTGACGTTATCATGTAGATGTGCATGGTGATGTCCCCACCACGCACTTGCCTGCCCATGTGCCAGCCAGACAGCAAAACTTTTTAAAATAATATATCATGATGGTAAAAAAAAAAAAATATTTTCTTAACATATTGTATACCCATTCAATATTCTTCTGGCCAAAGGTCTGCACGTACTAAATATCTAATTGCTGCTTTCACAAAAAAGTATAATCATACTTCCATTTAATCCAGCGTTTTCATTCTGAGTGATTGCTAGCACTAAATAACTTAGTTCCTACCAAACCCTTCCTAAAATATTCTGAACGAGTGTCATAGGGAAAAGGCGAGTGTGTCCAAACAGCATGTGGTTACCTTAGGACAATACAGCCACCCTCCATTGGTCTGTATTTTCATATCAGTCCCAGAATTACTTTCAAGCAAGTTTCTCAGAAAAGCAATTTCATTTTACACACCTTAATGACCTACCACCCATCAAACTTTACCTGCTTAAACCCACACAGCTCGAAGTCTGCGTTAAAAAAAAACAAAAACGAAACTGTGCCCGTGCTTGTCAATTCACAAAAGTCATCGCAACTTACCAGAATCCTTGTGGCTGTCCATCCAGCCAATGGACGGCAGCGACACCAAGCTGAGAAGGCCGGAGCCCATGAACGAGCCGATCCCAGAGAAGAAGAAGAACAGCCCCATCACGGCACTCTGCATGTGCTTCGGAGCCGCGGAATACGCAAATTCCAAACCTGGAGCCATCCACCGATGCCAACGTGAAACAAAGAGAGTGCAATCAGGGGTGCGTTGACGTGCAGGCACAGAGCCCTTTTCGTCACTCCACCGCCGGACGAGGGCTTCCACACGCCGTGCGCGCCTTGGCGGTTATTTGACCGCACGCTTCACCACGCCGGTCAATGCAGGTTGGTGAATGTGGCAAGCGTAGTAAGAGTGCCAGGCGATGGTGGCACATGCTCTGTAATCCAAGCACTGTGGATGTGAGGATTGGGTGGGATCACACAGTTGTTGTGAAACTCCCTTGCCGTGAACGTCGAGGTGCCATCCCCTGAGTGGCCAGGAGAGTACGGTATATCAAATGTGGACTCCACCTGTTTCATCTGTATGGGATAGCGTGTAACCCCCTCGCATCTGTATGGGATAGCGTGTAACCCCCTCGCATGCGTGGGCTTTCTCCGGGTGCTCCAGTTTCCTCCCACATGTTTACACTTCATTTATTGACTGAAAACATCTTAATATATATAGAGGACCCCAAAGCTTGGGAAATTGTTGGCGCAGGCTCGCCAGCCTGGCTGCCTTCTTGCCTTTGATTGCTCACACCTCTGTGTTGTTCTCTCTCTTCGAGAGTGAGCAAATACCGTTACAAGTTTAAATTATTATTACAACAATGCATGTTTTTGCTTCACTGCCTGCTGCTGTGCACAACGTAGCTCTGCAGTAGCCTATAGCACCTGTTCGATGCATGGCAGTCACCCATGAAAGCAATATCAAGGCTCAAACGTGTTTAGATTCTGATATCTGACACTATCGGGTGCATTCCGGGTGATTTGGTAGGAGGACTAAGATAGTAATTATAGATTAGAATAGAAACGAAAACAATTCCCTAAATTGCCACGTAAAAAAAAAACACATCACCAGCCCACTGCATGTAAGTAAGTTCTTACTATTCTTGGTTCTTGCGGTAAAGTCGCGTACCGAAAGAACCAAGAATATGAATCCCTGCAGTCACGAAAGCTTTAGGTCAAAATTTAAGTTCTTACTGTCATCACTTTTATTTTTTGAGCCCAAGTACGAAAGTGATTCTTCAGTCAAATTCATGCAGAGACCACGTGACAAGTACGAAGCTTGAGAAAGGTTGTGAATGTTACGGTGACGTGCGTTAAAGATGACGAGTGGTAATGTGATGGTAATTAAAGCGACTAAAGCCGTGCCCCTCTTGATGGTGACATATTTAGTCATGGTAAAAAGAGTTCACGTTACCAATTGATGCGACGTTCATTGGTGACGTTTCAATGAATTGCAATGTTTCCACGGTATGTTAATCATATTCTTAGCTCTTTCGGTAAAGTCACGTTGAAGGGAAACAATAAAATAATAAAATATATAAAACAATAAAAATTCTCACGACGTTTCGACCATAACACAAACGGTCGTCATCAGGTGTGTCGGTTTGCATTAATTTATTTATTTTTAAATGGCGTATTTATTTATAAAAAAACGTCAGCGCCACGCGCAGCGATTTAGCAGTTTATTTAGAAGGACTAGTCCATCTATGTTCTGAAAAGAGGAGGGGGGAGACGAAAAATTAATGTATGCTGTCTGAAAGCCACCGTAAGCGTGAACAATCAATTAAGACCTGAAATGGTTTATCAAATCCTTCCAATGATTGCTAAGCCAGAATCCATCTTCTCGGTTGAAATTGTCTCTGTGCTTGTATATGTGGATAGCCTCATGAACGAATCTCTCATGGTAGCCAGATGGCTTACAAAGAACCTCTGTCTTGGAAAAGTCAATGTCATGTGAGCCTACTGAATTATAACAATGATCTGCCACGGCAGAGGAGTTCGTCCTACCGTGTTTCAAGTCTGCTTTATGTTCACGAATGTGGTCCGAGACATGGCGTTTGGGTTCTCCAATGTAACTACTACCACAGAGGCAACTTAGTTTGTAGACACCAGGGTACTGTATGTCCGGAATCACATCTTTTACAGATGGAACCAGATCACGGATTTTATGTAACGTGTTGAATCGGACCTGGATCTTTTTTTGTGATCCCCGCAATGTAGGGTAAAGTGATGGTTTTGAAAGGCTCCTCAAGAGGGTCCTTCTTCATGGTTTGAGTGATAGCTTTGCAGATTGTATAGTCGGAGTAACCATTAGCATTAATCATTAAACTGTAAAAACTAGATTCTAAGCTTTCGTGACTGCAGCAATTACTCTTTGGTTCTTTCGGTAAAGTCACGTAGAAAATCTAATCAAATAACAATAGAATACGACGTTTCGATTGCAACACAAGCAACCATCATCAGGTAAGACTGAATGAGAAAAAACAAACATAGTAAACTTAGAAACACAATGCAACACAACACAGAGAGCCGGACAACACAACTGCCAACACCCCACCTGGCTGACCACGATCCTCGAAACAATGACATTCCTTGTAATCATATTTACAGCGCCCTTTGCCAATTCACTGCTGGATCAATGGGGTTGCTTGACCATACTTCACCATGCTAGTTTGTTGAATGGGAGGGGGGACGGGGGGGGATATCATTTGCCACTGACCTTAGCCCATTGCCAGTAAACAAACTCGTAGCAGAGTGCACTCACCACTGTGCTCCACCCTTGGACGCGATATAAATCCAAATTGCTTTGGTAAATCGTTCCAAGGGCATATCACACAAAAAAACACAAGACACGTTGACCATATACTGTCGAAAGAGCAGACTGTAAAAAAAAATGAACGACGTCCGACCTGGGTCGTTTAGAGGTCGAGCAAGCGGCCTGCAATTGAAAGATGGCAAATTATTATTATCCTGATTGGAGTGTTGACTCCGCCCATCATCAGTGCCACTCTGTGGGGAAGTCAACAGTGGTCGTCCTGTGGACCCGCCGCAGGAATGTGGAATATCCACCACCAGCTCGGGGACTGTAAGCTGGGTATGAGCACCGCAGAGACCGGGAATTCTTCTTTCCTTTACCACAGCCGTGCCCCCATTTGCTTCCTACAAAGACGTATAATGCTAATGCATGGGTTTGATGACACGCTGCCCCTAGGGGAGTTGCGCGTGCACCCCAGGTTAAGGACCACTGACCTAAACGCTCACTTGAGCAGAACATCACGGTGTTGACTTCACTTAACGCCGCCGATGGACCTTCCACCAGATGCCGCACGTACCCCCAATGCTGGTGAGCAGCTCGCTGAGTCCCACCAACAGGAACTGGGGCAGCTGCCACCAGACGGTCAGTCTGGCCGCCTCGTACTCAGAATGACCGATACACTGTTTCACCACCTCTTTGCGATACACACGGTTTAGCCTCTCCGACTCCAACAGACCTGTGTGCGTGCACAGAAAAGCAACGTCGTTGGACGGTTATAAGGAGGCGAAGGTGCAGCCCTGCAATGACTTTGCTCATGCTACTGCTGGCAGAAGGGCATTCTCTGGAGCAGTGGTTCTCTAACCTGGTGTTTACGAATCGCCTGAGGGTGCGAGATGCCCTCTCTGGGGGTGGGAGACATGGCCAGATCTTTTTTAGAAGGTAAATCATCGAAACTCAAATTAAGCACGGGGCTCGTAAGCACATCTTAATTGGTTTCATCAAACACTATGTATTTATCAACATTATACATTTTCTTAGTTCTTTATAGTTTCCCTTCAACGTGACTTTACCAAAAGAACTAAGCATATGAATTACTGCAGTCACGAAAGCTTTAAATCAAAATTATACATTTTGTTTTGTTTTTTACGATTGAGAAACAAAGGGGTGCAAGACTAGAGTAACGGTTAAGAACCACTTCTCTAGAGTAAGCAATAAGAACGCCCCCTCTCTAGGAGGGTATTTTTTGCCTGCTCTTCCACGCTGGCCAAGACACATTGGAGGAGCTGGGAGTACCCGTGTTACTCTACTGCACGCGACCTGCCAATCAACGAACTTCGGTGCATCCATTAATACTGCCTGGCAGAGAGAGGCAAGGACGTTCAATGGACTTGCCGCTTGTTTCGGCCGGCACGCCGCGAGATTGAACCGGCAACTTCCACATTGCATCTCGAGTGTGCTAGGCAATGCACACAGCGAGCAGCATGCGGTGTAAAGTCACACTGCTCTCACATCGCATTTGAATCCAATACCAGTCAACGTTACATATCAGTCGACGTGAATTGTTCAAACTTCTGCACTTAAATGCCAGTGTAGTGATTTAAGAATCTGCAAAGGTGTTTAAAACGTTCGTCTTTCAATTCCACGGTGATGTATCATCCCATATCTCACAATTATGCGGAACAAAATCATATGTTGTCGTTATAGCTTGGTTATGTCTTTTGCATGTGTTTTGGAAAAGACTGTCCTTGAAACATGCATTATGGCAGGTGAGGGTTTCAAAAAAAAGAGATTGGATTGGTGCGAATATAGCATTTGCAATCAATTCGAAGGTTTTAAGTTCAACAATAATCACAATCTCTTCAACACATTGTCGATATGCAGCATGCATCTTCTGACTAGCAATGCGGATTTGACACCACTCTGCAAAGGAACGCAATTGAGAGGTGCTGTTAATATCCAAAATTAGCCACGCTCAGCAAGTAACAAGGACCCTCAATTACCTGCAAAAGATGTTCTTTAAATTAGCACTATACGGTGCTCTTGAGCATTCCGGCACAATCGCAAGTAAACTGGTAAGTCAATAAGTAAACAAATATAAATCAATTTTACCAGCGGTCCCTGCGCTACACTAATGAATCTTTCTCCCCACTTTTGTTGTTGTTGTTGTTGTTGCTGCTGCAGCGCCGCACGAGTAGGGAGGGTGCAAGGGGTTCAGCACAGACCTGCAGCCACAGCAGAACTGAGGCTAAAGATCATGCCAACAGCCATACGGAGGACAGGAGAGGGGCGAAATCCCCGGCGTGCGAGCCACACAAACACCACGCGGTCCGCCACTGGGATGAACGCCAGCAGCAGCAGCGCGTCAAACAGCGTGAACCACGCGGTGGGGAACTGTGGAAGGAGAAAACGCACCGACTTATTGTAAGTATTTTGCACGGATGTTGAACTTCCTTCGCAACCGTACGTAGCCAACCCATGCGAATCGGGGGGGGTGCGAGTGGAAGGACAACAAGCTGAATACAAAAATAAGTTCGAGAGAAATGGGTTTTCGAACTCGATTTCAAAGTGCGTATCTCAAAGTGGCTTTCTAATATCGGAAGAACGTTCCAGACGGCCACAGAAGGGCACCTGAAAGCGCGCGATGCAGTGACTCACCCTCGCGCTCAATACATCGTGCGTATGTTAATATGGTAAAGTTGATACCTATGTGCATTAAGTAGGCCTACTATACCTTACTTTGTACAATGTGGAGTGGTAAGCATTCCTCGAGGGTGGGTGACAAGTCCCTCTACTATAACTATTTTATTTTACTAGGTAAGGCCCACTGAGCGATATAGCTCTTTTTCAGACGCGACCTGGCCACAAATGAAAGCTCAACGAAATGGCTTATCATCACGTGGAAATTAATAGCAGCCGAATACTCTAAACACGTTTCTAAATGTGGGGGGAAAGACCTGAGGACTTGGAGAAAAATCCACGCGACCACGGGGAGAACATGCAAACTCCAAATATACAGGTGTCAGGGTCAGGATCCAACCCATGACCTCCTGTATACCAGGCGAGGTAGTTAACATCTCACCACCGTGGCACCTCTGGGTGCAAGTAGAGCTTTTTAACACGAGGCTATAGGGACTTCCCAGCCACTCTTGTCGTACTCTATCCAGGCCAGGTGAGGACTGGATCGTGACCAGGAAGTTTTGTGACGGCCGTCGGGCAATGTGGAGTTGTGTGTATAACCCCTCATTCTAGAAGCCAGTGTCTGTCCGGACACCCTCGATCACTTTTGTGAATGCAAAAACAAAACTCGAACGCAGTGAAAAGACGAAATAATGTGTTGCAGAAATGCACAGCCGTGACGGTACAATGTGAAAATAGCAGAGGAACTAATTTATAGCATAATTATCTTACATACTGCAATGGACATCTTTTGGCCAAGAAGGTCATATTAATGAGTACAGAATACGCGCTTGACGAAGATGTCAAAAACACAGTGAATAACAAATAGAGTGGAACACAAACTAAAGAGTGTGCGAAGAAGCATGGAGAGAGACGCACGCTTTGGATTTACATTTACAAAGAAGAACACGTGGATTAGAGAACACACACACAGGTCGAAGGTATTAAAACTGTTTAGAAAGAGTAAGTGGGTTTTGGCAGGACACGTCACTAGAATGGATGATGGCCGATGGTCACGAATACAAAACAATCATCTTCATGGACCTGCATCCGTTCCTCCCTTAAGACAACCCATCTGTTCATCTCCCTTGCCTGTCCTACTGCTACTCCCTGCCCCGGCCCCCCAGCTACGGTCAGGCCTACCCCAACAATCTATCACTACCCTCAACCCCTGTTACTACCCCTATCACTACCCCAACCCCTGTCACTACCCCTATCACTACCCCACCGACTATCACTACCCCTATCAGGATCACTACCCCTATCACTACCCAAACCCTTCCTTAACCACTCCCACCTGTCCTGTCACCGTAGCTACGCCACCACTTTTAATAACCCCACTCTTTATGTTAACCACCATCGTCTGATGTACATTTTTTTATAATTATCGAAAAGCGCCTTGGACTAAGGCGATGTGTAAATCTATGCTAGATGAGATAATGATGGAGCAGCAAACAAGGAACAGAAAGCATCTGAGAGTCCGCCCGCTGATGAGATGTAGCAATTGAATCAGCTCGTGTGCATGTGCTAGGTGGATTATTACATCACACGGTCGCAAGAGATGATAGCAGTTTGGAGAGGCCTTCATTCGGCAGTGTATTGACTAATGATAATGTCAAGGTCCGCTCAAGCAAAGTTTATATGCATATCTTTAATTTTACACAAACCCTTGATATGTACATTGAACTTCTTTCGCACCGTACGCAGCCAACCATGATCATGGTGTATGCCAACAGTTACAGACTTATGATGTACCGTCCGCTTTGTGCTGTTAACATCACATGTCTGTGAATAGTATGCAGCCGTCAGTTATATTCCGGAATTAAAAAATAACTAGTTTCTGTTCAGTCTGCATGCCAAAAATTGCATTTGGATTCAAACACAGTAAAGACTGACTCTCACATTTATTGAGCCAAATTAAACACTTGGATTTTTGGAATATCAAAGCCACTTTGAATGCCACACATAAAATGCACAGATGTGCATCGCCTGTCAAAAGGCAAATGTAATTATCGTGACATTCATATGGCTACGTAGACCCAACACTTATTTTGTCGTGGTACATAGCTGCCTTGCACTGAGCTGACATTTCACGTAAAAATGATATCTTCTTAAATAATTACTCTTTGGTTCTTTCGGTAAAGTCACGTAGAAAGAAAAGAAAATAAATAATAGAATACGACGTTTCGATTGCAACACAAGCAACAGTCATCAGGTGAATGCAAGCTTGGAGAGAGACACATATACAGAGAGAGACAACATAGACACGGAGAAAGACGCATACACAGAGAGAGAGAGAGACACAGAGAGAGAGACACACATGGGCGAAAGACACATAGAGAGACACACACGCAGAGATAGACACACACAGAGACACACAGAGAAACAACGCCTCTGTGACGAGGCATTTATATAGAGAGAGGGGGGGATGGAGCAGAGAAAGTAGCATGTCAATGCGAGCGGTAGGGGGAGAGAAATTTTAAGTTTTGACAAAGCTTGTAAAATTATTTAGAGAACGGCAGGGGGAGAGAAATTGGAAATTTGAGAAAACAAACCAAGTAAACTTAGAAATGTAATGCAATACAACACAGAGAGTCGGCTAACACAACAGTTAACACTTTGCCTGGTTGATTACGTTCTTCCAAAGATTGCTAAATTTGAAGTGTGAGTTGTGTGGAAATCCTAAATCTTAAATAATTGTTAGTGCTGTTTTGTTTTACCACTACTGCCAACTTAGCAGCGAGCAACGTGCCAGTGCATACTTTTAATCCTCGACCACACTTACTAAAATAATTCCATATTAGAGCTGGAATTCTTAGTTGATTAATTATATTAATTAATTCGATTCATGCATTCCATTAATTAACTCTATTAATTCACTAAAAATATTATTAACATTTTGTTGTAGATTATTGGCACCCCTTTAAAACTGGTGGCCGCCCCCAACATCCTGCCCATGATGTCACCAAGCCCTGCCCATCACCTCCCGTCCAGCGGCACATTGCAGAAACGGAGGTGAGGTTTTTTCGCGTCATTCTGATTATAGTTGTGCAATTGAACCGGTAATTGGTAAGGGTGATTGATCACTTAAAAAATTGTGGCCCAACGTGATTCGCAAACAGAGGGGTTTCCGTACACGTAGGCTTGCGGCGAGGAGTTATACGTGCACAAAATCTTCAAGGCGGGCACTCCAAATGCCTTGCGTGGATACTGCTAATGAGGCCAATGTGCTCAACTGGACCAACCGCGTACCTGTATAACAACACACAGGGCGATCCATTTATAGATATCCCACTGCTGTCGAATGACCCTCTTTTTTAATACTGAAAAAGCAATTACTTCAATTACTTACGGCAAAAGAAAGACGGTAGCGTGGATGGATATTCACAGATCGGTTTTCTCTATAATTTATTTGTATTATTTAAATGGGGTATCTATATATGGATCACGCCCTAATTGTTGTGTAACACAATATTATTTGTGAAGGTATTAAAGTACTGAGAATACTGCAGGGGAATACATACGTTAATGCTTAGAAAAGTCCAAACCGTATCTCAGATTTGCTAATATTATTAGAGCCAAGTAATTTATTTGTGACAATCTCGACTAAAATTTAAATTCCATCTTGCCGAGTCTGCATAAAATTAACTTTCTACACTATCAATACAAAAGGCTACTATGCAATCTCAGACGTCCATCACCTGACTGTGTTTAATTGAATGTCACGTTGCTTAAATGTAACGTTAAAGAATCCTCTCATTTATCAGGAATAATGAATTGAGGCCCTTTAAGGGAGTGACAGGAGATCTCAACAGACGGGAACAAAGTCGCCCATCCACAGGTTCAAATTAAAAAACACAAGCTCCGGCTTCATCCCGTTTAATCACATTGGTGTTACGTGTCCTTGGGTTTATACGTGACTTGTGACCAATTAACTCATCACCAATACACACTCCTCGTCTCGCAGGGCCCATAGATGCACACGTGGCTTGAGTTATGCACGCACACCTGTTCCATTAGTCTGTGCTGTCCAATAAGTCACGTTAACTCAATCCCTGACCGAGGCACTTGTCAACGTCTTGGCATGTCAGTGTTTCCTCCGAAGAGAGAATGTGAAGCAGACAGCCAATTTGGCAGCTGCGTAGTGCCGTACTGACACAGTCAAGACGAGATCTATCATTAGGAAACCAGAGGACATTGGCTCCACACGAAGGTTTTTACACAACATTGCAAAGATTCCAACTTTGTACGGCACATATTTACATATTCAAAAAATGTATCTTTGAATTTTACACTAAATATACATTTGAATATCTGCTGAGGGTGATGCACGCAAATTCCTGGTATTATGAGAAGGGTAAACATTCCACCATTAACATAAATCATAATATAATTCACTTTCATATTTTTTTCTGTTAATCTGTGCACTTTGGAACTTTATGACACAAAGGAAGAAATTGAAGGTAAACGTGTTTTCAGAACTTTATCGTGTTGGGTTAATTTTAAATAATTCGTTTATATTTAGCTCATACACGTACTCAAAACATATTTTCTGGGATTTTTGCAGGCGTCTGTAGTGTACATGAATTTAATTCATGATAATACATTGACAGACTTGATATAAGGCATTACATATTCAGCTTTATCTGTTATTCAAATGCCTGGGGAGTGTTTTTTTTACCTTCATCTGAAGCTCTGTAATGACCCCCCCCCCAACATTTTCTTTAACCATCAATATACATTTCAGCTTGATCTCAATTCTAATTCGGTTGAGTATTTTTTCATGCTATCCTTTTTGTGTTTTTCTTTTCCCAATCTATTCCTATTGTGCTAACGGTTTTGTGTCATGAAATGAAGGATCCAAATCTGCCATAATAGTGGGACCCCCCCCCCCCCCCACGCGTTTGAGAATGGCTGCGGAAGAGATGTTTCACAGGACTTCTGAATAAAATGGTTTGTGTTTTTTTCTTCCCCCTTTACACCAGGTGGAGAACCTACGATTCCTGTGGGCCTAGCGTGGCCCACGACTTTCTTTCATATGGTTTGAGGCCCACATAAGGTCGACCACGGTGGCCAGATGTTAACTTCCTCCCCTGGTATACAGGAAGTCGTTCGTTCGATCCCGACCCTGAAGCCTGCTGTATATTTGGGGTTTGCGTGTTCTCCCCGCGGTGGCGTGGAATTTTTCTCCAGGTCCTCCGGTTTTTCCCTCCACATCTCCACATTTAGAATCAACATGCATTTAGAGTATTTTGCTGCTATAAATTTTCACGCAATAAGCCACTTCGTTAAGATATAATTTTTGGCTATGTCACTTCTGAAAAAGAGCTATACAGTATAGCTCAGTGGGCTTTACTTGGAAAAAATAAAAAATATGAAAAGTTAAATAGTTAAAAACGGCTCGCAAAATTATCTTTTGTCCGTTACTGCAAACAACCCAACTGGGCTGTGTGTCTACTTGGGAACTGCAGGCCCGTTCATCGGCATGTTCATGAGAAGCAGGCACAGGAATCGCATGAGTGCGGTAAAGGTGGAACCCAAATAATGTTCTCATTTTTATTTGATAAAATTAATTTGTGTTTGTTCATGTGTGGTTGACCGCCAAAGGTACAATAATTAAAAATCATATTCGGTCCCTCAGTAAGGGAAATTTGCCCCAGCCCTGCAATGCAATGCACAGTCAACGTTTCACTTACAACACCCGACTATGAGATTGGCATATTACGGTCAAACAGTATTTTTTTCTCAGGAGGTGACATTTTGCCAATTTAAGTGTAAAGCCAGATTTAAAATGAATGTTTTTTTTTTAGCAATCACTGATCAAAGAGCTGAGACCATTAACTTGCCTCATTTGAGAACCCGGTTTAATCACGGGCGCTGATTAATTCACGTGTGGTTATTCAATTTTAGTGGAGGCAACATTCCTTCATGACAACACAGTAGTTTAATTGTGACCTGCAAATTAGATTATATTATTTATAAATAGATCAGAGTAAGTGAACTGCAAGCCATGCAAACAACTCAAATCTACTGTATGTTATAATCAATGTGTATTGTTCCCCTGAAAAAAGGAAACATTTTTGTTGGTTAAAATATACAGACAGTTTAAAATATTACACACATGTGACCACTTCCTTATATATTTAACTAGATGGGAAATGTTGTCACATCTGTGCCAGTTTATACAAATATTCGTGTGGGACAAGACAATCGTGAAATATACATGTCCCAGTTCCTTTATGTGATTTTAAAAAGTGCTGTCATGATGCCTCAAGAATTGAGTACCAAATCTTTATAAGTCGTAAAAAAAAGGTCATATAAATCCGGTTACTTGTCTGCAGATGCCCTTTGAATATTCGAAAACAAGCCAAACACTGTTGCATTACACACAATTCAGGATTATTTGCCGGCAGTATAGTTACCGGAATGTAACTTCACCATATACTACAGTGAGGCCTTAACGCATAAAGTATTATATAAATCACGATGCGTTTCCTGTTACTGAGAAAACGCGTAAGATAAAAACACATCATACGATTAAACCGCCCATGCCCCTGCCTGCCCTCCTCCTTCCCCAACAATCGATTATTATTTAGAATTTTCAGTCGGATTATATGATTTGAACAAAATTTTAATGAATGGAGCCATTCACATAGCTGACGAGACAAACACTGTATGTCTCAGCAGTGCTTACCGACTTCTGAGAAACGCCAAACACAGATCCGTGCCAAAAGCAGCAGCCTTGGTGTGCTTGATGAAAAAGCAAAGGTGCAGGACTGCAATTGCTTTCTCACACCACTTCTGGCAGAAGGAACTCCACTCGAGGCAGCTCGAGATGGTATTTTTGGGCTATAATCCCACGCTGGTCAGACTAATTGGACGAAGTGGGAGTACCCACACGATGCCCCACCACATGCAGCCTGCCGATCCATCGTGGTATATCTTCAGCCAATTGGGCGGAAAGAAACTGAGAGTAAATTGACTTTCCCATTGGTTCAACTGCCTCACGCACGCATGTTAGTACGTTTAACTTCTTTCGCGCCGTGCGCACGTAGCCAACCGTGCTAATCGGAGGTGCCGATCGAGCCACAACCACTCGATCGAACCAACCACCTGGGAGATTGAAAACCCAGTGTGTTACCTATTAGACGAGAGCAGCATCTCTTGAGGAGTGGTAGAGGGAATGTAAATCTGCCCAGCGGTACAACTCTTCGTGTTGGCACGTCCTGCAGATTACCCCTCTCCGCATCACCAAAGCCACACCGAATTTAGTGGCAGTGCCATGAACAACATCGGCTTGTAAATAGCCAGCCGCACGTGAGAAATTAGACGGCTTGTATTTTTTGGTTGGGAACTTTTGGCAAAACTCGTTCGCCGATCATGTTCACCTGAAACAGCTGTCGACACCACGATTGGCGAAATGTGACCCAAGCCACATACCGTATTCCTCAGTCATGGAGTCAAATAATCACGTACCGCCGTTATGAATGAAATACAGCGCATAATTCTAAATGTATGCGCTGTTAAGAATAAATAAAATGTCTTACCATACGTCATAATTTGTCTGTGCCTGCCATTCTATGCCACATTGGTCTGTACTGGTGTGTACATTGTATTTTTTTACCTCCGGCAATATTGTAAAATAATATACTGTTCTCATGTTATAAGTTTATTTTCCCCATACTATACTTTTAAATCACTGATATTATATGTACAGCATACACCAAGCTTTAATACATATTGCAATTTGTCATTTATCCTGTGCATTTTGGAGATTTTATCCACTTGAGTACAAGTTGATATTTTGGCAAGAGTGTTTCAAACACCCCATCTAATGCACACAGCAAACAGCCGTTCAAATTCAAGTGAAAAGAGAACACGAGAACACTTGATAGAGCTTCTCATGGCTTCTTCACAATTGTCTGTGGCATTGATTACTTTTTTTTGTTAGCCTTTGCCATTCAAAAAAGTACAAAAAAAATCTATACTCTAATCAACTGAAAACAGTTTTATTACTACAGTCACACTTAGAGGGCTTTTCAGAAAGTGATTTGCCCGACACCCCGCTGATGTTTCTGAGTTAGACGTGAGTGTGAGCCGTTTCAGTTGATTGTCGGCTATATGTGCTTGATTAAGCTTCCCCCTATCTGGCAAGGCAATTTCCTCTCAAATTGCACTGTTGCAAGATGGTGTTAAAACGTATCCAGTGCACTTCTTGATGCACTGCCGTTGCTCTGAGCAAAGCGAGAGAAATTACTACAAACATTTTCTGTTCGCCTTCAGAAATTGAAGATCCCCCCCCCATCTAAACTTTAAATATTTTAGCCAGAGCATTGTACGCACCCGTACCTACCACGTGCGATGGTGAACTCGAGCAGTTGCCAGAAGAGCTGGTATTGAAGATTTTTGGGATCTGCAAATGGAGGCTCTGCAACTGGTAGGTTGTCTGCATCTGAGTAGAAAGAAAATGGGAGGTTACGGGAGAAATTATACGTAAACAAACTGCTTTGGAAATATTAAAATATAAAGCCAGCAACCTTCTTCAATAAATCGTTATTACTAAACAGTTACAACGTTGGCGGTTCAGTGAACCTGCACTGATGCCACGTGCTGGTGGAAGGGCATCCACAAAAGAGACATCCGGAGAGCCCCCTCGAGAAGGTATTTGGCCTACTCTTCCACAATGGTCAGACATCTCGGAAGGCGTGGGAATAGTCAACACTTTATATCCCACCACGTACAACCTTGCTGATGGACTCACTGTGACGTACCCATTGAAACTACTGGGCGGTCAGAGGTGAGGTCATTTGAGACGCTTGCTCATTGCCTTCAACTTTTGCACCAGGAGATCGAACCGGTGACCATTGGTTTGTAAGTCCAGTGCGCTCACCGTTACACCAATGCAGCATCCTGATCAATATCGTATGGTAAATCAATAATATTTGCATTGATCAGTGATTTAACAATGACACTAACAATCAGAAATAAAGGCAGAGATTAACAGTTTACTCATGTCCAATTTCATGTTCATGTAATTACAAAACGTTAATTCTACATGGAATTTCCACAATTTGTTCAGATAACGTAAAGACACATTCTCCTATTTCGATTTAAAGCTTTCGTGACTGCAGGGATTCATCTTCTGGGTTCTTTCGGTAAAGTCACGTAAAATGGGGATAAAATAAAATAATAAAAATAATAATAACAGAATAAAATTTTCACGACGTTTCGGCCACAACACAAGTAGCCTTTCTCAGGTGAAGAAACAGGACTGTCCGGAAGACAGCGGTGTCTTCCGGACAGACCTGTTTCTTCACCTGAGGAAGGCTACTTGTGTTGTGGCCGAAACGTCGTGAGAATTTTATTGTCATTATTATTTTTATTATTTTATCTCCATTCTACGTGACTTTACCAAAAGCACCCAGAAGACACATTCTGCTGTGTATTACCTAAATATGAATATTAAAAAAAAACACTTTCGCATTGGTAAACATGTTGGACCGTATTTTTTCGGTTATCTTCGAGGAAATGTTTTGCCTCTGTAAAATTAAATAACAAAATGAAATGTTGAATGACATTCGCAATACTCTTCGGTTCTTTCGGTAAAGTCACGTAGGTATTAAATAAAATAAATCACGACGTATCGGGCGCAACACAAGCGTCCGTCATCAGGTGGGACAACCACAGCAAGAAACAATTGCTGAAGTGGGCAAAAGGGCTGCTGTGAAAAGAGACTACATAGGTAAGAGAGGGGGGAGGAGCCTCTAGTCGATAAGAGAGGGGGGAGGAGCCTCTTGTCGGTAAGAGAGGGGGGAGGAGCCTTTTGTCGGTAAGAGAGGGGGGAGGAGCCTCTTGTCGGTAAGAGAGGGGGGAGGAGTCTCTTGTCGGTAAGAGAGGGGGGAGGAGCCTCTTGTCGGTAAGAGAGGGGGGAGGAGCCTCTTGTAGGTAAGAGAAGGGGGAGGAGCCTCTAGTAGGTAAGAGAAGGGGGAGGAGCCTCTAGTCGGTAAGAGGGGGGAGGAGCCTCTTGTCGGTAAGAGAGGGGGGAGGAGCCTCTTGTCGGTAAGAGAAGGGGGAGGAGCCTCTAGTCGGTAAGAGAGGGGGGAGGAGCCTCTTGTCGGTAAGAGAAGGGGGAGGAGCCTCTTGTCGGTAAGAGAGGGGGGGGGAGCCTCTAGTCGGTAAGAGAGGGGGGAGGAGCCTCCCTCTTGTGAGCCCTTTTGCCCACTTCAGCAAACTATTTCTTGCTGTGGTTGTCCCACCTGATGACGGACGCTTTTGTTGCGCCCGAAACGTCGTGATTTAATTTATTTTATACCCTACGTGACCTTACCGAAAGAACCAAAGAGTATGGATCCCTGCAGTCACGAAAGCTTCAAATCTAGACATTCGCAATGACAACTCTGGTGTGCGTGGGCCATGCAGTGTGCGACATTGTGAGACATACCTGGAAGTATACCATCCAGTAGGGTATCATGGCTGTAAACACCAGAATTATACGACCCAGGCTCTTGACATCGTTCTCAGACACATCGGGTACATCTTGAATTGAATTATTCCTCTGATCCCTTGCATGATAAGACATGGAATGTAAAAAAAAATACACGCACACATACATAATATATACTTACATATGCCATTTAGTCTTGACTTACAATTGAAAAGCATACAATTCTCAAACCTGAACTGCAGCACTGTATTGCCGTATATAGACAATGACTCTCGGTATGTTTCCTGATTCATACACGAGGTAATGACTCGTGAGATTTAATAACAAACCCTTACTTGGCTAACCGAACTGATATAATGAGCATTATCTAAAACTCCAACCCACGTTGCACTATGGCTATTGGGCAGATTGTACCGGGCGTTCTGGAAGAATCTTTGTCCATGGCAAAATCTATCCAATTTCAACAAAACTTCAACCATAGCCTATTTAGCTCTGCCAACACCATTCACCACTTTTATCATACACGTCTTACATTGTAAAGACCACTCTCGTTAAGATACTCTTTCTGGCACTTGCTTGATAAAATTTCTATTTTTAGTTTCTTAACCAAAGTTATAACTTTGTTACCAGCACATTATTTAACACATTTCTTTTCGTATAGTATGGTCTGAGACAAAAACCAAGTCAATGATTTATTCTCAAATCAGCATCGAGGCGGTGCTGGCTCTTCTGTTGACAGCACTGAGCCAGTGGTGTGAACTCAATGTGTCTATGGCAAGGGCGAGTACATCCAAAGGACTTCCCCACAAAAGTTGAAGTTATTTCAGTCACCCCGGAGGGATGATGAGCGGAGTCAACTGCCAAACCAGGCTTTTTTTATTACACGCTTTCTATTAACTCACTTTGTCTGTTGTTGTATCCTCAAATCTTGTAACTCAATTTTAACCCACTTCCCAATGTGGTATCTACTGCAAACTTGGTATACTTATGTCATACTGATGACAATACTATATTCTATCATTAAAAAAATACATTATTTTTTATATGTTATGTTTCGGCTTGGGTCTAATTATCCACGCTCAACTAACGTTGGCTGTAAATCACCACAGTCCCTTACTTTATGGGAAGCTTCGGGGCCACTTCCTGGAGTCGTGGAGTTCTTCCATTCCTAGTACATTTCATTAAAGCGTGTTTTAAAAAAGTTATGTTTTAATACCACTTATTTTTAACCAGCAACCTTCCTATAATGAGCCACTCGCTCTCCCGCTGAGCCACCGTTGGATCACCTGTCTGGATGTCAATGCCGAGGCACTCATGGATTCAAATCAGGCCGATTTTAATGTTAATTCACAGTGATGTATGTAAAAGTCGACATTTAACCTTGTGATAGTAATGTAGCTGTATACAAAATGTATTAATCAGGCTCTGTTATCCTTCCTTCAAAACTGGATTAACTGCTCTGGAATAAATGTTTTCCAAATTCGCCACTACTCAATTTTCCTGGCAATGATGATCATTTTCATCATCACCAGCCATTATCAATCCACTGCTGGATCAAGGTCTTCCCAGGCCAACAAAAGAGCACTGTTTAAATTGCAATAAATAACCTTTAACGATATTTTTTTATTGAGGCTAGGTCGTGCGAACTTGGTGAAACAGACGATGGGAGCTGGATTCCAATACTGAGCATTGGCATGGGACGAAGCAGACATAGAAGTGTTGTGACCTGCCCTGTGGTTTAAAGTCAGTCTGGTAAGACCGAATCCTCAACATGCATGGGTGGAGGAATTAAAGAGTGAAGTTCACTGGACTAGGGCTGAACGATTTGAGGAAAATATCTCATTGCGATTTTTCTGACAGATATTGCGATTGCGATTTGATTTGCGATAAAAACAAATTTAAGTCAAGCTTCAGTTCAATCAATATTCACTGTGTAAGAGATTTAAAACATGTGATGGAGCATTACCACGTGATATCATCAAAATATGAACTGCTCTATATCTTCTAATGCAAGGATGAGAACTTAAAATATATGAATTGCTTCCAACGTGTATTTATTAAAATGTTTTAATTGAAAAAGAACAATCTAACATAGAACAATTAAGTTAAATAAAGTTATAATAATAAATAAAATATGCCCAATATGAAAGTAATAGGACTTTTCAAATCGCAAAAAATCGCAGCCTTTGCGATTGGCTAATCGCATTGTTTCTAATTACATTGTTTCAAATTGCTATTTAGATTTGAAATCGATTCATCGTTCAGCCCTACACTGGATCAGTAGCTAAGGCGGTAAGCGTTAGAAGAGTGATAAGGAGGTGAGTAACCGCCAGTTAAGAGGTGGCTGAAGTGAATCGGTGATTGCTGGATCATCAAATTGTAAAACGGCTGTACGCGTGTTGAACTTCGTGCGCACCGTACGCAGCCAACCGTGCCAATCGGAGGTGCAGGCGGGCAAGAGGGGTGGAGAGGACTTAAGAACTAAACACAAAAAGCAATTCTAAATAAATGACTTTTACCTGTGAACATCAGAAGAAGAGCTTCGTCGCCTTCTGCCAAAGCAGGAGAGGCACATCAGCTTGCATATGTAAGGCAAGGCGCTGGGGTGGGGTTGTTTGGTGATGTACTTTGGGCTGCAGGCAACGAAGATGAGCAACGAGAGGCAGAGCGCTCCAATTGCCATGTTGTAGCCAATCAAGAAACTAACGTTCTGTTGGATGTAACCAATAAGACCGAGAGACACGATTGCCCCCACGTTGATGCACCAATAAAACAGGTTGAAGTAACGCTGCAAGGTCTCCGCGCCTCTGTCTCTGATCTGCACGCAAACACACAAACACAACAACAACAACAAATGTCTTAACAACTCCGGAAAATACGGTACGACTCAAGGTTTTCTGATTCCATCACTCTTCTTATCCGCCAACGCACACGAAGCATCGAGCCCACCCCGAGACTCAACTCAACATTGTCGAGATGCGCGCCACGCCGAGACGGAGATTTGTTTTTTGTCCTTTTTTCAAACACAAATACGCGGACACGTTCCGTCATCCGCCGATAAAAATCCTTTCCCCTTCTCCACGAAAAAAAAACAACAGCAAACCAACCGACCAAACAAACAACAGACGTACAGCAAAAAAATCCCCATCGATATAACACCACCACCACCCACCCACCAACCAACAAGCACACCTGATCGGCCCCGAACGACGTGATGTTGGCTTTCACGGACGCCACCCCCAGGGCCATGATCACCACGCCCGCGTGGGTCACGGCGCTGCAGTAGGGCGCCGGCAGCTCGGGGCACCCCGGCCGCCAACCGCCGTCGGCACACGACGAGTTCACGATGGGGACTCCCTCGCGCGCCCCGCAGATGGCCCTCCTCGAACCGGGCGCGCTCAGCAGGGGGAACGAGACGGCACCGATGATGTAGACCACGAGGCTGACCACCACGGTCTTCATGCGGCCCAGGTAGGCGTCCGCCAGCCAGCCGCCCAGCGGGGAGGCCAGGTAGGTGATGCCCATGAGGATGAAGAGGTTCTGAGCGGCTTGCACGCCGTCCCAGTCCATGGAGTCGTTGAGGAAGAGCACCAGGTTGCCCGTGATCGCGAAGAAAGCGATGCGTTCCAGGGTCTCGGCGCAGAGGAGAGCGGCGCACGCGATTCTCCTGCCCTCGAAGCCGCTCTCTGGCGGCTGCTGCCTACGGGTCAGCAGCGGGGTCTGCTCGTTCGAGCGCATGGCCATGACGGCGCCCTACGACGCTGAACTTGTGGGACCCCCGTCGTGCTTTGAACGAACGTCGTTGGCTCGAGTTTTTGTGGCCGGCGAGACGCGCTCGGACTGACGGTGGAACCGGCAGCGATGGGTTAATGAACCTGCCGTGCGTGTGCAAGTGAGGTGGATGTACGATGACCTTAAGTCAGTTCACAGGTGGTGTGATCCTCTTGCATGTTGTGGCGACGCGGATACACGAGCGAGTGAGTGTGTGCGAACTTTCGTGACAAACGCGACGATTTAAAAAAAAGAAATATATATTTAAAACTTCCCTCGAGCACGCATTGTGCCCCACTTTTGGTTCTGCTTTTCTGAAGCTGTCGTGGGTTGGTTTGGTAGGCGGCGATAAAATCCCCCGGCTATGGAAACAGCAGCCGGTTGCTGTATAAATAAAAATACCGGATCGACAAGAATAAACGTGCGGTCGATGGGACGGGTGTCTGTCTGTCTTGTCGTATGCCACTGCGTTGTGCGTGTCTCAGGTTCGGCGTGAATTGGAGTGTCGGTGGGCCATTTGCGCGGTGTTAACTCCTCCCAAACAACAGCGCACACAACACGAACACTCGCTCCGGTAACAGCTTGGATGTTTTTTTTTGTCTAGCCACAACTTCCTCCGCTGATGCACTTTGGAGTCTTTAAACTCGTCAGACTGTAATAACCAAACCCTGCCCACCCAACCCACCCACCCACCCCCTTTTGCGCAGAGTTGTAGTCGCCTCTTGACATCTGGCTTTCGCAATTATTCAGTTGCGTCTTCTTCCTTTTTGGCTTTGTTTTCTTCCTTTTGAGAAAGTCGCGAGGCGTCTCTCCTCGCCGCCGCAACGTGTAGCAAAAGACAAAAAAAACCCCACGCGTTCAATCAGTTGATCTCCATGCGAATGAGTCATCCTTTGGCCAAGCGTAGTCCTATTCTACTTAAATATATTAATCGCTTCCAACGTGTATTTGTTAAAATGTTTTAATTGAAATAGAACAATCTAACATAGAACAATTGTTAAGTTAAATAAATAAAGTTATAATAATAAATGAAACATGCCCAATAAGAAAGTAATAGGACTTTTCAAATCGCAAAAAATCGCAGCCTTTGCGATTTGCTAGTCGCATTGTGTAGCAAAAGACATTAAAAAACCACCAACGCGTTCAATCAGTTAATCTCCATGCGAATGAGTCATCCTTTGGCCAAGCGTAGTCCTATTCTACTACTGTATGGTCAAGGCATGACTCTTCCCCGTGATGAACAACAACTCAGAACGTCGTATTCACGTCCACATCTATGGCTTCTATGTACGTGTTACGGTGTTCTTGACATGTTTGTTGAGGGGTTTCTTTATTATCGTCGTCTACAGGGTGGTCCAGATGTCTTGTGATCCCCAATAAATTGACGCCATCACGTGGTTTTCACATCGCATATTCATTTCCGTTTTAAAGAAAGCTAACTTGAAAGATACAAAAAAAAGTTACGTTTTGCAGAATTTAATGGTGGGAGGGTCACGAGACATCTGGACCACCACTATCCATGGTCAATTCCGTGACAACGGAATAACCCTTGACGTGGCAAGCAACCTCAAAAATACTCATCCGTGCATATTCAATCTTTCATCGCCTCCATGTGCTAGATGGGAATAACTTTTCGCTCGGTAAACCTTTGAAGGTGCATTAACATTGGCCTTTAGCCGCCGTGCGCGTGCCCGCGTCTCGCGGTTTCCACTCCGGTTTTTACGACTGCCCACGTGGCATATTTAATCACACCGCTGGATGTCAAAGATCGTTTGCATGAGGGGGGTGGGGTGGGGTAGGCCACTGTGTGCCGGAATTATGGTTCGAATTTGCGGACGTTTGAAGATTTACCCGAAAATTACTGAATTGGCATAGTACTCTAGAGAGTAATCATCGCAAACCCCCCCCGCTCCCCACTCTGCTCCAATAAACTTGGCAAGACCCTACTTGAAAAAAAAAGAGTCAGTGACGCTTTGATGGGTCACTTTCACGGGAAATGAATTGTGCGGCAGTAGGCACGTGACGTGTGGTTTCACGGTGACGATATTTACAGCACGAGACACACACAACCAGATCCCGCGCCTGGAAACAAAATATGTTAAGGTAAGCAATGTGTATAAACAGTTGGGTCATAAATGAACACCATTTCATTGATGTGCATATGCGCGCATTGTTGTTGGGATTCTGTTACCGTGAAATAGCCCGTTTAAACGATTGTATATCACGACTAACTTGTTTGAGGCCATATACACATTGTTGCAGCATGTTTACACTGACTCCTTTTTTTGTACAATGCCTCTGATACAGGATACAGGAGAGTCGAATATATTGGAGTGGGCGGGAAGTCCCTATACTGCTCTGTCTCTTTTTATGACAAATGTTACAAATGCACTATCATGATTTATCGGCCGCCCTGTTCTTCTTTAGGGCAGGTGATGACCGGGTCGAGAGCCGAAGACTTTTCCTTTGACTGTTCAGATAATGTGGAGTGGTAAAGCACTCCAGACGCTCTCGTTCACTATTATGATTGCAAAAAACGCCTTTTGGCGTCCTCTGGTCTAACACCATTTGAGACGAGGCTCAAAAGAAAGCTGTCTCTGGTGTGGACCAATCAGTTTCAAGGACAATGCCATTATCAGAGTATGTTTTTTGTTTGCATTCTGGCCACAAGTATTGTGGTTAATGCAGACATTATTCCTTGCAAAAGCTTTTCAGTTTGGTGTTTGAACATCTTAACACAACTGTTTTGTTACCAGAAAAAAGTGGAAAACCCTGGAAACGTTCTTAAATCACTCTGCCCCTGTCCAGCAACACCCAGCAATTATAATTTGGTGGTGACGCAAATAGAGTGGCTACTCCCACCTCTTCCAACAAATCGCCTGGCCGACGTGGAAGAGGAGGCCAAATACATTCGAGAGGGGTTTTCTTAGAGTCCAGAGCTCTTTTACCTGGAGGGGTTCCCACCAGCAGTGGCATGGATTGTTCATGGCTGGTGATATTAATATATTACAGTAGCTGATAACATGTATTTCTGTTCTTCTAAATCTTGTAGTTTCGAACGGATTTGGGAGGGCGTTCACCCATCAGTGGATTGATCATGACTCATGATCACGACTCATTCCTGTACGGAATTGTAAAGCAAAAGTTGGACATGCGTCTCATGATCTGGTGTGTGTGTGTGCGAGATCATATAACTTACATCCTCATAAACATTTACTAACTTATGGATACACATTTCGCGGGTGTGTCTTACTTTCCGGCGCGCCTTATAATCCGCGTTTTTTTTATTTATAATCAAGCGTTAAGTTTCTCATGATTGAATCTATTTCGGATGACAAAAACCCAGCAAACAGCTGCAGCAGCCACTTGGGGGCCGTCCATAAATGACGTCACGCACCTAGGGGGGGGGAGGGGGTCAGACATTTGTGACGATGTGTGACGATGGGGGGGGGAGGGTTGAGAAATGTGACGTCACATCAAAATGCGCAACTTTAAATAAATATATACGACACGTTCTACTTAATTAAATCGACTTTTTAAATAAATGTTTTCTCCTACAACATCAGAGTGCAGCGCCACATTAAATACGCACTACAATGACAATAGTTTCAAGCGATTTTAAGCATGTTTTTTTCGGGGGGAGGGGTGGCAGAGCTTTGTGACGTCATATTTGAGGGGGGGGGGTCTGACTTTTTGTGACGCCGTGACGAAGGGGGAGGGGGGGTCAAAAATCCTCCAAAATCGCGTGACGTCAATTATGGACGGCCCCTTGCTGACGATAAGAGCCCACACACACTCACACACACACTCCCCTTTGCATTGAGCAAATGATGATGGCTCACAGCAACAAGAAGCAAAAAACAAACCCCAACTCTCTCCCCTCCCTCTTCTTACCTTTGCCCCCTGGCCCATGGAAACACGTCACGGGAAAGCCACAAGCGCATGTGCGCCACTGTACAAGAAGCGCATGATGAGGAAGAGAGGAGAGAGAGAGCGAGAGAGACACACGAAGGGGCTACCGGTTCTCGTCGTTTGTGCCCGAGGGTGTTTTGTGACACGCGTTGCAATCCGCGTCTCCTCTCGGCGCCGTCTCGTTCGAGCGCAAGGCGTTGGCGGCAGATGAACGCATGATTCGTGCGTAGACAGGGGTCGTGTGCGCCGTGCCTCTCCTTGCCCCCTCTCGCTGGCATCGACAATGAAAGTGCTTTTGCTGGCACCCACCGCCGCGGCGTCGGGGAACGCGACGACTGCGGAGCGAATACGGTTTGTGTGCAAGCCTTGTTCGCCCCGATGCACAGAGAGTGATGCACAGAGACTCTGCGCATCGAGGCGTGGGTCCGGGCGGGCGGGGGGGGAGAGATTTGTGGTGGGATGTTTTCTTTGCAAAGGGTTGAAAAGCCCCTGAGCTGTGGGGGAAAGAATGGACTCACGGTTCGGGACTGGCCAGAGGAGCAAGTTGGTGGTGGAGGGGAGGGGGGTGGGTTTGCACGGGATGGTATTATCCAGGGTGGCCCAAAAGTTAGGACACGGGGTTATATTTTATTTCATTGTATTTCCTTTAACGTGTTCAAACAATACTTCGGTTAACATTGATGGACGCATTCTCTTTAGAATTATTGACTCATTTTTGTTAAAAGATTATCGGTGAAATGGTTGAGCATTCATCAATTATGTTTTTGTGCTCAATTCATTCGGGGGGTTCTTGGCCGAGTTTTGTAAAACGACGGATTTGAGGTTGACCCCACAATGAGGATGAATGTAGATAACGATAATTGGTAAAATATTAACTTACAAAAAATAAAATGTTTATAATTCACTCTAAAAAAAGTAGATAAAATCACCCTGTATGTCCTGACTTTTAGTTCCACCATGTGTAATGTCCAAACCACCTTCCCTCTCTTTTTATCTTCTTTTTTTCTTTTTTTTGACGATCAGAGGAAACAAGAAGATGCTTGGTGTAGTGGGCACTTTGCTTCGTTCATCATTTCGGGTTTTTTTAATGCTTTGCTTTATGTAACCCCCCCTTTCCCTCTCACTCCACACTCCCATATCCCAAATTCCCCGCAGTTTTGAGTACGTTTAAAACATTTTTTTGTCGAGTTTCATTGACACCCCGTGACAGAAATTATTAACCCAAATGGAATTGAAATTCGATCTCCTGTAGTGGCAGTTGAACCAATAGGCACGTTGCTTAGATCACCCCGCGTCTGTCCACCCAGCAGTACGGTTAATCGATTGGAAGGCACGCGCGTGGTGGCATCTCAAGTGTGTGTGTCTTAAATTTTGATTTAAAGCTTTCGTGACTGCAGGGATTCATATTCTTGGTTCTTTCGGTAAAGTCACCACGTAGAAGGGAAACAATAAAATAATAAAAATATAAAACAATGTAACTCGATCATGAATAGCAACATACCAGTGGTCAGCTTGGAAGAGTAGACCAAAATATCCGATAAGCGAGCCATAAAGGTCGCTCTTGTGGAGGTACTTGCACCAGAAGTTGTTTATAACTGGTTGTCAAGTGGTCAGTCTTAGGGGCCGTCCATAAATGACGTCACGCACCAAGGGGGAGGGGGGGGTCAGACATTTGTGACGATGTGTGACGAGGGGGGCGGGGTTGAGAAATATGACGTCACGTCAAAATGTGCATCTTTAAATAAATATAGACAACACGTTCTATTCATATTCTTAGCTCTTTCGGTAAAGTCACGTTGAAGGGAAACAATAACAATAAAATATATATATTAAACAATAAAAATTATCACGACGTTTCGACCATAACACAAACGGTCGTCATCAGGTGTGTCGGTTTGCATTAATTTTTTTTTTAAACGGTGTATTTATTCAAAAAAAACGTCAGCGTCACGCGCAGCGATTTGGCAGTTTATTTAGAAGGACGAGTCCATCTATGTTCTGAAAAGAGGAGGGGGGAGACGAAAAATTAATGTATGCTGTCTGAAAGCCACTGTAAGCGTGAACAATCAATTAAGACCTGAATTGGTTTATCAAATCTTTCCAATGATTGTGCAGCGCCACGTTAAATACGCACTACAATGACGATAGTTTAAAGCGATTTGAAGCATATTTATTTATTTGGGGGGCGGGGGGCAGAGCTTTGTGACGTCATGTTTGAGGAGGGTCTGACTTTTTGTGACGCCGTGTGACGAGGGGGGTGGTCAAAAATCGGCCAAAATCGCGTGACGTCTTTTATGCACAGCCCCTAAGCGAGCCAAAGAGTGCGCTCTTGTTGAGGTACTTCCACCGAAAGTTTTTGTAACTGGTTGCCAAGTGGTCAGTCTTATGGGCCCGATGTTCCCCCGCCCAGAGGAATGTGGATTTTCCACTATCGGCAGAGGGCCATTAAACAAATATGAGTAACACCACGTTTGAAATATTCGTTGATGGTACGTACAGTCACTCACGTTTATAAACATACAAACTGATCAAATCATAGCAATTAAACATCATCTGAAAAAATAAGAGGCTTTACCCTTTCTGGCAAGATGTTCAAACACCAAATGAAAGCCTTTTGCAAAGAATCCGGTGATAGAGTATCCCTTCGTCTTGGTGTGATTGTAAAAGGGCAACCAAGCCAACCCTTTTCAGAAACATCGAGAGTATTAACCTTTAAAAAAAACCGATATATCTTGAGGTTGGAAACAGCCATTTCAGAGATTCAATGCATTAAATCGTACAAATTGGTCACGTGTGTTATCTGTTTTGCTTATTGGTGCAGTAATGTCATTAAACATCTATCAATTATGTATCAAACTACTGGACATCTGTGAAACAGAGCGTTAGAGCTCATCGGATTCCTCCAGTATAAATAAATAAATATTAAGATTCTGAGAGTAAGAGGCCATCTCAATGGCCACTGCTGTTAATGCCACCAAAATCATCCCCGTATCACTTGCGCAACTGTTTCATAATCCGCACCCAACCTCTAAAATCCGCGCTTAAGTCCCACTATCTTGTTTTAGGTCTTATCTTTGGTCAATGACATCTGGGTGCCACTGCACTGCATGTCACGGTAACCTGCCATCCTCTGTACTGCACACGTGTCCCAACCATCGCAAACTGCTTTTTGCGATTACATCTAACAATGCTTTATCAGTTTAAGTCTTCTGAACTTGCAAGCTGCTATCTGTGTCTCCACAGGTGAGGAGTCTTAAATCACTATAACCCATTGCCTCCACCTTTACTTACTACCTAAACACACATGAACCTTTACTGCCTCCATATTCAGATGTTCTATTGATCCCTGTGTTGAGATGCAACAATCACTTTCGACACCACTGATACTGACTTGGTATCGGGAACGCCTAATCATCCATTGTCCACCCAAATTACCTACCTCTGCTTACACTGCAGTGTTCCGTCCAAGGTCATGGCTATCAAACATAGGTTATCCACGTAACATGCATGCCTCTGAATGTGCAAATGACCTTCACTTTTGGATATTCTGATATTACACCATCCTTGCTTTTAGTCAGAACCTATTGGGAGTGCAAGTCAACAATTGTAGCTTCAAGCTACACATGAATGTAAAGCAATGTTACAAACACGTGCCACCATCCCCAAATGGCTACATTAACAAAAAAAGAAGGCTTGCTTTGGCGGAAATTGGCCACCTGACTGGACACGGAAAATATTTTTGGGCAGTTTGATGCTCTAGAAACTCGAGGCATTAAATGTTCTTTTTTACGAATTATAGAAATGTTTGGGAAAAATCTTACGTATCGTATGTTATTTCTTTTTCACATCGCTGCAGCAGCAGAAGCCATTGCTCTATGCGTTTGACGAATGAAAGCCTCCCAACAAGTCATCACCACTCCTCACAGCCTCATCGTGCAAACAACCCATTTAGTCCCAGGACATAAGCTGACACCCATTGCTCCATCTCCACGGATTGCAGCCTCACGTGTTCTCTCCTTTGGCTGCCACTCTGTCGTCAGTCTCGCCATGTGCCCTGCTAAAGCTCACTTTTACGAACAGTAAATGTCTCTAATTTGTGTTTGTCCTTCTGATCTATTTGTTTCTTCCTTCAGTCTCTCAACGTAATTCCAAGCATGCACCGTTGCACGCTGTATGCACTTTTCAGATTGTGTTCCATTTTCAGTATCCTATCCATCATGGCAGGTAATAAGCACTCATTAAACGCGTTCTGCTTTAGGAACACTGGTATGTTGCTTTTCATGATCGCGTTTCTTTTTTTCCGAAAGGTACTACACCCTGCTCTCGCTTACCTCCTTTATTTTGATCCTGGTTCACCTTTGGTAAATGTTCTAGGTATACAGTGCATACAATACAGTAACAGAACAGTGACTGGATCCCAGGTCACATGGTGCTTTGTGACCCCCATTTGCTCATCGGAGCATCTCCTCCTATATCGGCGTATTTTAAAGCAAAAGTTGAGATGCGCTCTATAATTTAGTTGGAGTGTGTGACACCTGGCGCACACTTGCAGTGCATCATATGTTCCAGAGCATGTTATTTTAATCTGTAGAAAATTATACAATGTGTTAAAACTTAATGCGACGCTTAAAATAGTTTTTCGCCGGACAAATATTTGTAAGTTATGTTTTTCTCCTTCCTATAACAACCAGACATTACCTGCTGACAAGTGGACACAAGTGCCTCTTGGAAAACAGCAGATCTTTCTCCGAGCCGAAGGACGTTCGTAAATTCATCAGCGTAAATGGCATTTCAGCGGTAATTGCGCTCCACCTGTACAAGGCTGGCCGGCTCCTTGTGGGTAAGGTCCTCGTTTTAATCTCTCAAAATTAGGCTACGTTCACGCCGAACAAATTGGGCAAATGCATCGTCATCTTCATCGCCGCCCATTGCCTATCAACCGCTTGGATGAAGGCCTTCCCGCCCGTCGTCACCTCTCATGATCCTGTGCCGTGACTCTCTTCCTGCTGCACATGAGCCAATCCCTATCTCTCCGTGTTCGGGGACATCGTCCTCTTTCCCACGTTCACATCTTTGGCTGGCCATCCTACATCCTGTGTTAACCATCGGCGAATGCACCCCCGAAACAATATAACCCTGTCCAAGCTGACATTAAAGCAAACTCTGAAAAATAACTACTGATATCGTGAAGCGTTACAAGCACTTGGGGACCTTAACCAAACGTTAGTTGATTATAGAACGCATGATAATACTGAAACTACAATTTTACAGTCCTTTGCATTAATTATTTGTGGGCCCGTTATTTATATTAAAATAAATTGATCAAATTTCCCCCCCCCCCATCCCTAACATTACGGTAGAGTATAAGTACAGGTTAAGTGCCATTATTATAATTTGTGCGGGATAAATGTATGAATTTGCCAAAAATGAAACGCATTCGCACGCTCAGCACTGGAGCGTACAATATGAAAGGGATTTCACCGTGCTGAAACGATTGATGCTCCATGACACGGGCCAATGTGTGCAGATTGGCACACATTGCCATACGTGAAATGCCCCTTGATAATAAACACAGTGGAATCCCGCCCCCTCGTCTGAAACAATCCGAGGGTCCTAATCACAGGTTAGCAAATATGTGGATGAGAGAGGAGGTTTTTTTTTGCCGTACAAATAAACGCCACTTCTCCGTGACTTATCTGCGACCTGTGTCCACTGTATTCACAGATGCCAGGAAAATTTTACCGCACGCTGTAAACTAAATGTTTTTTTGTGCAATAATATTGCATAATCCCTGCGAAAACATTTAGCGAGCCACTCGACTTGTTCTTACGCCACTGCAATGAGGAGTCAATTATTGCACGAGGCAATTGTTTGCAACGCAATTGCACGTGACTAAGTTGGTTCCTGATTTTGCAATTAAGCACGATCCCAAGACTAGCTTATCCAATTATTGAGCTAGTCACGTGACCACATAGTATTTACGTGTGATTGTGTGTATAGGTTTGTGTGTGTGTGTGTCTGAGAGATTTGTGGAGTGGTGACAGCGATTAATGGCCACGTTGCAACATCAACAGCATTACATGAAACAGTTTTAGGACTCCCTTAGGTCGACTCAGCTTTAAATGAACACCTTATGCAGTGTGTAAACATCAGGACTGGGATAGACAAAGGCGGCCGGGCATAGTGTTAGCCACCCACCCTTTGGTGTGCTATCCCGGCCTACTTTAAAGGGGCTTTGGTAACAGCGCTCACCTGAACAGTCTTATTAAAGGCTATTCGGGGGACCTTTGTCTTTCTGTGCATATACATAGTACAGCTATGTGTGGGTTTTGTTTTCCCGACTTGCATCATTCTTTGCAGAAGTGTTGCACTCGGTTGCATTCTGCCGTAACATGGTATTCACTTCTAATGATTACTTGTGATTTGATGGGGCGCCATCTATCACAATCCAATTACACCCCACATAATTTGTACTGAAATTGCATCGTGTATCTGGACCTTTTGCTTTTCATTTTGTTGCCAGCCTACGTGTGTCCATGTCAATGTCTGTCACCCGCATGCATGTATCTCACCTGTTGCAATTTTATCTTCCAAAGTACATCTTCAATGTTCTATTCAGAAATGCCACGTTGCTTACCATAAGCTCCTCCTCATCATGCACCTGTACGCAAAGGCCAGAACCCTGCTTCTTCAAATACACATCTCGGACTTATACCATAACACAATCCTTACATCCTGCCTCTAATACCCAACACCATTACAGATTTCCTCCCTCTTCAAATGTGGATTATGTAGATTTTCGGAAAACCTGCTCTGCTCATGCAGTGGATCTAGATTTCCTGACCAAACTCCCCGTATCATGTACATTAATACAAACATACAAAAGCATGTACATTAATACAAACATTCAAAATCATGTACATTAATACAAACATAAAAAATGCTCCGATCCTCATTTGAATTACTTATTCACTTGAGCAACGCGAGATATTACGCATCATCGCTGTAACAGATGCCTTTGATACCTATTTGTACTCAATGGGTAAACTGTTGGTGTGAGTTGAGAGTATCAATATCATTTTTGTAATTACACATTTTGCAATGTTAATTTTATGCCTTAAAATAGCATTTAAAAGACATATGGTTTGTTAGAAATGCAGATACGAATTTATTGGAATGAGCACACACTGATTCCCAAACTCAACGCTGTTGGTGAAGAAAGGCAAACCTATTTATTATACGGTCATGTGTATTCTGTGACAGGATGCGGTGTGCCTTACGGCGTGGTCTTTGGTGGAACGGACGTGAATGAGGACGTGAAAAATGAGCACAAGCTTTCCGTGATGACAGCAGTGGCCCAGAACGCCAGGTATGGTAACGTTCTCCCAAACCCTTGGGGCCAAAGGTGGTGACGGCTCTTTGTTGTGGTGGTTTTTAAATTTAGACCTCGTGGACAAAAAAAAAAAATGTCCCAGCATTTCCCGTCACCCTACGTGGAGTGCAGCGCAAACCCGGGTTGTGGGTTTTTGTTATGATTCCGCTGTTTGCCCAGGGAAAGCCTCGCCGAGTCTCAAGATTATTTTTGAGGAGGGTTCCTGCCACTTTTTTTTTTTGCTGTGGTGGGGGTGATAATCACTACATGCATTGAAATTGAGAAATTTCCAAGGAATCTTTAAAATGTGTCATATTCCGGCCCATGACGCTGGCACACAATGGCCAACCCTTGCGAATGACGTCACGGGATCTTTAACGTCCACGTCGAAGCAGATGACATGCAGTATTTTTATGGTTAATACCCCCGCAGGAATAAACCAGGACGGTCATTGGATTCGAACCGTGAACCGCTGCAACAAGCAGCGAATGTGCTAATATCAGGCCATCTCACTGCCCTTTAACCTCCTTACTATTGGCTTTAGTGTCACACAGCACGAGAGGCAAATTACTTGACTTGAAGTAATTAAAAACCACATGCTGACGCTGCCCTATTAGCGAAAGCATTCATTTTCCAGGGTGTAACATTTGGTTGCCCAAATAAAAAAAAACATTTTTACAAGCATTGGTTTGTAAAATGCCAAATGTAGAGGCCTTCTTAGAACACCGTTAGAGTTTGCATCAGTCCCTCCTGTCTATATTATTTGGCGCCGGCTCATCGCGTCGCTGACTTCCTGCTTGTCTGTGGTTCCCCGCGCCTCCGAGTCATTCAAAGTCTTGTAGAGCGAGCGAACGCTGTGCACGTCAACAAGTTGAAATTATTATCATACATGCAGTGTGATTGAATTCAAGAGTCTACCAATGTTCACCAAATGCTTGTGATAACGGAGATGATTGGGTGGCTTGGAATCCCCGATGCATGATGATTCACAAAATGCCGACTTAAAACATGTTTTACGTCATGCCATTTCCACACGTGAAGTCAATTGATTTTGAAATGTTCCCCTTTATAGGTACCATTATAATTTATTTTGTATTTGAGTTCGAAAGTGGGTTTGGCAAATTAACAGTGAGGGTTTATTTATTGCGAGGTTGAAAGTCCCCTACATGAGACTACCTTTCAGATGCAATGAAAATAGCCTTGAAGATTTTTTTTTTCTTCCAAAATTATAGTGTCATTCAATGAAAAACTATTTCTCACTATTTGTACCCTTTATATGTAAGCAGGGATCCTCGATACGTGATGGTTCAAAATATTGACTTTTAAAACATGTTTTACGTCATACCATTCCTCATAAGCAGTGCCATATAGCAAGGGCGGATATGTAGCTCAATAGTTGGAAATTCAGCAAGCAATGTATTATGTTGAACATCTTTCGCGCCATACGTAGGCAACCGTGATTACTGGCGGCTTGTGGCCCAAATCTTTGGTGGTGGTGGTGGTGGATGGGGGGCAGCCACAGAGGGGGTGGGGGTGCCAGCGCCGTAGAAATTTGTGGGGTGGGGAGGAGGAGGCATGAAATGTCAGCTGTGACTCGGTAACCAACAATGACGAAGTGTCATAGACGGGAACACATTTTTGTACACCCCTTGTGGGGTAGATCTCCTTCAGCCCACACCTCCTAGGTTGGAGTGCTTTTTTTAAAGGAAAAAAAAAATGAAGTTAATCATGAAAAGATTAATACCAGTGTGCTTAACCTGTAATGCATTTAATCAGTGCACGTTACCCGCTGTGAAATATGTATCAGAAGCATGTACTTTGACGAAGAAAATGGAACGCAAGCTGAGAAGCACACAGGACATGGAGATGTCCTTGCTTATTGCATTCTCACCGTTGCTCCATAAGTGGCGCATTGCATCTCATCTGAGCTATACAAGGGTTACTTTGACACAGATGCTTTCGAGTGCCAGGTCGTTGTTACCAGCTGTTGGCAGTATTCTCATCAATACGTTGATTTATTTTTCGTGTGCTTTTTTTAATTCGAGCGAGTGCTTTGGATTCGGTTGAGAATTTGTAAAGTCAGTCAAAGTTCAGATTCAAATAGATTCGGCTCCGATAAATACCATCCGGTTCGAAATATTCCGTGTCCTATTTTTCGTTGCACACTATAACGACCACACAAGAGTCGGTTCGAACAGATGCACAGACCGGCCGTGCACGGCAGGTCAAAAGGTAGGATAAACATTGACAGTTGCAACCATTCTGTCATTTACATATTAATGTGGCTATCTGGAGGCATATTTAATGTTCAGATTATACAGTCACTTCAATCTGAGAAAGAAAAAAAACCTTTTGTTAATGTAATGTTTTCCCATGTACTGTATGTGCCTGTAGTGTGTGTTCAATGGAAAATATATTGGCAGTGACGTTTGCATCACGAAAGATGCTATTAAGTCCCCTTAACTTTAATCTGCACCAGGTACTATTTAACCCTTTCCCGTTAAGATGACGTACGTGTTAAGATGACGTACGTGTTAAGATGATGTACGTGCTTTTTTCTATTCAAGCAAGTCCTTCAGTTTTCCTTCCGGTTCCGTTTCGATGATGCACATCAGAACGGAATCGGAAGAAATTGTAAAATAAAATAACTTTATCGGTAATCAGGCTCCCAAAAAGCCATGCGGCAGGGCGTGTTGCAGAGTTTGGCGCCAGCTATCACAGAGTGCGGTCGTGTCGCTACGGTTCTCTGCGGTGAGCACGATGTCTTTAAAAACAACGGCGCTACGCCTCTCTAAATAAAATTGCCAATGAAACCGCTTGCACATTCCGAGATGCAGTAGCGAACGGGACACCCACCCTGCAACTTGCGGTCATCTCGTAATGGGGAAGGGTTAAAGTTATTATGATACATGTGCAGCCCTATCCTCGCTTGCTCGCTCACACTTCTGTTGGTGGAAGGACTGTCGTAGGAGGGAACTCTCCCCTGAAGCCCTCTCGGCATGGCATTGAGCTCCTGAACATATTGTCGTACACGAGAAGAGAGCAACATGTGAGGGAGCACTAGAGGGTGATTTGGCCTAATCTTCCATGGTAATTATTTTGTATCAGCATTTCTAATGATGTCTTCTATTTTGTATAATTGAACCAAAATTATTGTTTCGCAATAAATGATTACAATTTTGTACATTTCTTGTTTGATGTGATTTATGGTACTGCAGGTTCCTGGTGGCTTTTACAGAGGAACTAAAATGCATCGCAGAACATTTATGGGTAAGTCTCTGCAGCCCCAGCTTTAATATCACTTGGCATTTTTGTTACATACAGCAGTATTGAATTGCAGGTAGGTTTTGTATGGGGAACACAAAGTACAATGAGGTGTTTCTCCAGACGTAGATTGCAGCAGTAACGCTGTTCAAAATGTCAGTGAACTTGCTAAAGTGCGGATTGTGATAGCCAAAGACCCGTGTCACCCATGTTATTATATATTTAACATTTGAATGCACCTTGCGCCATACAACGAGCATGCACCATCACGATATGAGGAAACCAATGGAGCTGCACACTTTTACATGTGTAGTGGGTTCGAATTAGGTGCACACACACACACACAGCTTGGAGGCAACACTATTGATTAGAACGGTAAGTAATATAACACTGTACATAAGGTGGTGACCACCTTCCTCAACTCACTAACACTCTGCAACACTACACAGCGTGACCCAGGCAGGCAACGGGCTGCCTGGTCCCAGACGATGACCCGGGGACTTGAGGAGCGATGATGTCGTCCTCACTTCGGGGTTGAACAGCCCCGCTCTGCCTTCACACCCCGCTTATAACCGCTCCGGCGTGGCCGGCTCTGCCCAGGCCACGCCGCCCTTCCCCCACCTCTGGGAAGGTCCGGGTCCTCCACCACGTGACCCCCCAGGCACTCCCTTGGGGCCCCCAGCCCTCGACACAGTAGTGACGTCCCATGTCACTACACATGTATGTATGTATGTTGAACTTCTTTTCCACCGTACGTAAACCAAACCATGCTTTTCGGAAAATCTAGATTGAAAACCCATTTCTTTCGAACTGTTTTTTGTGTTTAGTTTGTTGTCCTTCCCCCTGCACCTCTGATTAGTACGGTTGGCTACGTACGGTGCGAAATAAGTTCAACATACATACATACAAATGCTTGATTTAGTCATGTGAATATTCACCTCCCTCTGCCCTGAATTTGATTCTTTGTTTATAAGTCGCAATTCAACTCAAGAAGCTCTCTCTTTTTTTCTTATGCTGGATGGCTGGTTCATCTCTTCTCTGGTGTATTTTCTGCCTGGCTTGTATTGTCTTGCTCTGTTTCTCACCTTCTCTGTATCTCTCTTTTGTACACTCTTGTTTTTACTGCCAGTCCAGTCTGCACTGCCTATCCACTGTCCGTCCACTCTGGCCCATTCTCTTCTGCCTTCTCATTTGAAACATCTCGCTTATTGTTCCATCTCATTTGGTCTCATTCTATCCATCAGTGCAATTCCAAACATGCAACCTCGTTTCTTTCGGACGTTTTCAGCTTTTGTGCCATATTCTTTGCCACTATATTTGTAATCGTACATCATAATAGCGGTAATACACATTGATGCTTACTTCGGCACATTGGTACGTTGCATTGACTTTAAGTTCATTTTTTCCAAAATTATTCCAACAGGTTCTAATCTGCCTTTTAATTTTAAAATGTTCATCTTAATCCATGCTCAGTAACTGCCCTAGATACACACATGCTAATCTGTATTCCAGTTGTGTATCTCCGACATATCTTAATTCGTTTAGCGAGACGGTTGTTTTGATGATGTCCACAGTTATACAATTTGGTATAATGGAGCTTTGCCATTCCAATCAAGCAAGAATCCATCATAACTCCTGCAAATGGGCTGTTACATGGCAATGTTATTGAAATGGTGGAAAGCTGTTCTCCATCTGTACATGTTTATTCATATTTTATGAATTATTTATTTTGTTTTTAATTAGTCTTGTCTTGCAAACGGGTATATTTTATTGCATTCGCATAAGCTTAAATTACACGTGATTATTTCCAAAGTGGCGGCACAGATAACCCGGTGGCCTGGGTGCCCTAACTCATGCATTCAATCCATCGGTCATCCCACTTAAGGAATAATTAAATGCGGCTGCTTAAAGCAAGTGTGTGTGTGCGTTTTGGTGGATCCCACCTATATGCGGCAGTACAGCGGTTAGCGCACTACATTACGAATCCGGCGACCCGAGTTTGAGTCCCGCGCACGGCCAACACCAGTGACGATTATCTAAATGGGACCTGAGCCTCCGCTGGGTCCACTCAGCCTCAAATGAGTACCTGGTGCGGTGCGTAAACATCTCTAATAGGGAGACAAGGTGGCCAGGCGTGATGCTGGCCACTCACCCTCCTTGTGTGCCGTGCCGGCTTTCACAGGTGCTGCTACTCGCTGACAGCAGTCTGTTAAAGGCTACAGGGGAGATGTTTATCTTGGATCCTACTGTAAATGTTGCTCAACTGCGAGGTTGTCCTTGCAACGATCACAAAACTTGAGCATTTGTGAGAATGCAGTCATGCATTAGTGAAGACATTGGACCTTTCGATTTGCAGTAAGCTTATATGGGTGCCCAAAAAGTGTAATTAATGACTAACGGAATCACACTGGAATCACCAATTGACACACCATTTGCATTTGTATAATTAAGGATATTTGTTTTAAAGAAATGTATAAACTAAGGACAATTTTTACTGCGATGTATCTGGCAATGTTTAACCAAGTTCCTTAATTCTTCATGGAGAGACATTTCTTCAAATCTCACTTATTATTACTGTGTGTGGCATAAAATATATATTATTCTTTGCTTGATCAACGCGTTTACAGATATACTTTAGCAATAAACATGATTGCTAAAAAAAACTGTATAGGCACTGCCTAAATTAAGTATTTATGGGTGACATTTTCATCAAAACAAGTTTTAAATGTATGTGAGTAATACATACTTTTTGCTGTTATGTCTGTTATTGTGTTGCAGCCGTGTACCAGGGGAAGAGTCTACATCCAACCGCAAGGTTAGTGGGTTGAAACAATTGCCAGTTAGTGTGCTAACCTGGGTTTTAAGAAACCCAAATGTCATCAAATATTGTCTAGGATTAGCTAATGAGATTTTCATTATATTAGGGCAGTCATTAAATGTTTAACTTGTCACTTTAATTGAGCTTTAAGTGAACTTTACTTAAGCCTTGTATTCAATTTTGACAATTTAAGATTTGCAACAACAACAAAGCTCACGGCTCCAGCGCCGACTCGCAATTTATTTATTTATATTTTTATTGTTCACAGGATATGGGGCTCATACAAAATTAAAACTCATCCTTTTGGCAAAAGACATTCCCACACAATGTACAATTAATGTCTCGTTGAGATGAACCGGTGGCTCGGTGCATTACTGTATATTGCCACGGTAGTGTTCTGAGACCCCATCATTGAGATACAGGGTTCGAGTCTTGACAGTGATTTGTGATTAAATCTCGCCCTGTAGTGGATTCATTCTCATACATAACAAATTATATTTTTAAAAAATTTTGTTTCTGGGTAGTAAGTGTTATTTCCTAATTTGTTATGCCTCAAAAGTACAGAAAATGGCTATTATTCCCCACAAAATTGTCTATTATTTCCCACATTTCATATATAGTCCATACTAATGACTGTGCACAAACACGCCATCATTTTTTATTCGTTTTTTTTCCCGTCATTCAGCATAGTCTAGCTCAGAGGACTAAACGCTTCTTGTTGGATTTCTCTGCCAAGGAAAACCATTTGCAGGAAAAATTAAAGATTGTGTCCTTGGTATAAATAGAGGCCTTTTGAAGGGAAGTTGCAGAAGTACTTATCTGATGTCATCGTTCAAGGCTGTTCTCTTAACCCTGCCCTGCAGTAAAAGTTATTGAAGGGGCTTTTGTTGTTGTTGTTGTTATCTTGTGGATGTGACACAAATGAACATATTTAGCAGGGTGGGGGGGGTGGGGAGCCTTTTGTATAGGAATCACATTTATGTGTTTGACATAAGCACCACGCGCCCATGCTTCGGAGGTAAAACAGTGAATTGCAGAATGTGTTGTTTACACGAAGAAGTATTCCCCCATTTCAGAACTTATTTGGCACGTCCAAATAACAAACTCGGTTTCATTTGTAACGATGTACAGTTTTTCATCCGTTTACTTTCAGGAAAGAAATAACGCTTCGTATTTTCATACGTTGGATGCGTCAAACATACGGAATAGTGGTTGTTATTGTTGGCAAGTACCATGCAATTTTATGTTTTCTGTTGCAACTACTTTTTAAGTAATATTCGTAAAGCATTTTTGCATATATTTTCTATTTATTTTAACAATTTTCTTTAATGCATTTCATGCAAAATATTAGGCAATCTTTGATCGCATACCTCTACGTTTAAACATCATTACTGGTAGGAACCTCCTGGTTACACCACCAGCCCACAGGGGATTATTGTGTCCGTCCGTCGTGCATCCAAAAATGGGAGGGGTGGGGCTGGGTGGGGAGGGGAGGGTGGGGAGGGGAGGGTGGGGAGGGGCTGGGTGGGGAGGGTGGGGCTGGGTGGGGGGTGGGAGGGGTGGTGCTGGGTGGGGAGGGGCTGGTCACCCCGTGGTGCCCTTATAAAACTCAACGTTTCACCTACTCACGCCGGCTTGTGCCCGCCCTCACAGTCCGGCATATTTGCGGAATACACCACGTGGTGGTGCCGTTGACCCTGGCCATTGACCGAGCAAGCCAACGTTCCTACCAGCTCCCTCCGCAGGAATGTGTTTGGTGATGCTGCGTTGGCAGCGGTGCACAAGCACAATTTTCAACAACAAAAATCACATTCATCAACAGCACTGCGTCGCTTTAAGGGGCCGTCCATAAATGACGTCACGCACCTGGGGGGGGGGGGGGGGGGGTCAGACGTTTGTGACGATGTGTGGCGAGGGGGGGGGGGTTTGAGAAATGTGACGTCACATCAAAATGCGCAACTTTAAATAAATATAGACAACACCTTCTACTTAATTAAATCGACTTTTTGATACATTTTTCTCCTACAACATCAGAGTGCAGCGGCACATTAAATACGCACTACAATGACAATAGTTTAAAGCGATTTGAAGCATGTTTTTTTTCGGGGGGGGGGCAGGGCTTTGTGACGTCATATTTGAGGGGGGGGTCTGACTTTTTTGTGACGCCGTGTGACGAAGGGGGGGAGGGGGGGGGTCAAAAATCGTCCAAAATCGCGTGATGTCATTTATGGACGACCCCTAAACTGTAATAGGCATTTGACCAAACATGCTGCAGATCATTTGCATTCGACTAGGTTGTGAATTAATTGTTCTTCAATGTATAAAAACCATAAAGGTTCGTGACAAATGCACAAACACCTGTGCAGGCTTCGCAGCAAAAACATTTGTTAAACGTGCTTTTGCTTTTCTTTTGCACATTCTAACTGAGAAGGCAAATGCATTTCTCAAGCGGAGGTATTCTGAGGTAGCATTGACAATGCAACAAAAACAAGAAAGGGTTTTGCCTAATATTCAATGGTCCATCTGTTCATATTTGTAAGTGAAAGCAATTTAAAAAAAAAAATCTTGTTGGGCAAAAAAATATTCTGTTTAATAACGAGGTTGCATTTTGCCTTCGTCAAATGCTTCATTCCCACTCAGGACCAGCATAGCACCACTTATCGGTGGTTATCGGCCACATCGCTGAGACTTGGGCAAAGTGACGAGCCCGCTGGTTTTAGACGTGCCCCCAAGACGATGTGACTGGAGGTATTCAACAAAGTTGTCTCCAAGGAATCTACCAGTCTCCACAAAATGTAATAGCATTTACAGCTTCGGCTGCCATCTGTCCTGGTTCTCCAAGGATGTCAGCTTTTTTTTTTGAAGATAGCCATCTTGGGAAATCTGCAAGTCTTCCCAGGATATTAAAATTCCGGTTTTTTTTGTCATTTGCATAATACAAATGCACTACTCAAGACAATGCATTTCAAAATCAGAATATTTGTTAACACTGGAGTAATCCGATGAGCTATAAAGCTCTTTTTCACAGATGTCCAGTCGGGGCAGGTCAGAACGTTACAACGAACAATACAAAACACGTTTAGAGTGCAAAGAATAGGAAAAGGTAAACAAATCTCTTAATCAAATATACAAATACAACTAAGCTCTATATATATTTTTTTTATCTTACCAGGAAAAAAACTCACTGAGATATTTGAGCTTTTTTCAGAAACCACCTGGCCACAGACGTTAGCTCGACGAAGCTGCTGATCACGTGCAAATGTATACCAGTACAGGAAAACCTTGGATTGCGAGTAACTTGGTCTGCGAGTGTTTTGCAAGATGAGCAAAAAAATAATACATTTTAATTTGATCAACGAGCAAGGGTCTTGCAATACGAGTAGTACGTATACGCTTTGTCTGCCGAGCGTCACGTGATCACAACTGATTTACGAGTGCTCTTTGGTTTTTTCGGTAAAGTCACGTAGGTAAAATAATCAATATTTCATTGAATTTTTTACCTTCGTGACTTTACCGAAAAAAAACAAAGAGTATGAATCCTTGCAGTCACAAAAGCTTCAAATCTAGAAGGATATACGAGTGAATTTTGATTTAAAGCTTTCGTGACTGCAGGGATTCATATTCTTAGTTCTTTCGGTAAAGTAACGTAGAAGGGAAACAATATAATAATAAAAATATAAAACAATAAAATTATCACGACGTTTCGACTGCAACACAAGCAATCATCATCAGGTGTGAAAACCACAGCAGGAAAATTTGAAAAAAGTGGCGGGTTTTTTTAAACAAACACTCTGAGGGCACCCCCTATCTCCGGTTGTAGCCAACATTTGAGACTGACGCCATCCAGACTGCCACTCTGCGCCCAACCTTATGGAAGAGGTACGTGGATGACACTTTTGTCATCTGGCCACCATGGCCGGCCTGCTCTAGACCAATTCCTCGACCACATCAATTCCATACACCCAGCCATCAGATTACCATGGGAGTCGAAAAAGATGGCAAGCTACCTTTTTTGGATGTCCTAATAAAGAAGAGACCTGATGGTTCAATGAGCCAATCTGTCTACAGGAAAGCTACCCATACGGATGCTTACCTGAAACCGGATTCCCACCACCATCCATCCCAGAAGAATTCCCTCATCAAGACTCTGCACCATAGAACCCAATGCATATCCGACCAGGAACACATAGCCAGTGAACTCAAGCACGTACACCAAGCTCTTAAGGCTAATGGTTACTCCGACTACACAATCCGCAAAGCTATCACTCCAACTATGAAGAAGGACCCTCTTGAGGAGCCTTTCAAAACCATCACTAAATATTCTGATTCTCTACCCTACATTACGGGGATCACAAAAATATCTCCAAAATGTTGAATAAACACAAGATCCAGGTCCGATTCAACACATTACATAAAATCCGTGATCTGGTTCCGTCTGTAAAAGATGTGATTCTGGACATACAGTACCCTGGCGTCTACTAACTAAGTTGCCTCTGTGGGAGTAGTTACATTGGAGAAACCAAACGACGTCTCGGACCGGATTCGTGAACAACAAGCAGACCTAATACACGGTAGGACCAACACCTCGGCTGTGGCAGATCACTGTTATAATTCAGTAGGCTCACATGACATTGACTTCTCCAAGACACAGGTTTTTTGCAAGCCATCTGGCTACCAAGAGAGATTCGTTCATGAGGCTATCCACATATACAAACACAGAGACAATTTCAACCGAGAAGATGGATTCTGGCTTAGCAATCATTGGAAGGATTTGATAAACCATTTCGGGTCTTAATTGATTGTTCACGCTTACGGTGGCTTTCAGACCGCATCCATTATTTTCGTCTCCCCCCTCCTCTTTTCCGAACATAGATGGACTCGTCCATCTGAATAACTGCCAAATCGCTCTCCGTGGTGCTAACGTTAAAAAACCGCCACTTTTTTCAAATTTTCTTGCTGTGGTTTTCACACCTGACGATGATTGCTTGTGTTGCAGT